ATATATATATATATATATATATATATATATATATATATATATTTGTTAGTCTCTAAGGTGCCACAAGTCCTCCTGTTCTTCTTTTTGCGGATACAGACTAACATGGCTGCTACTCTGAAACCTTTCTTCCTTATGTCTGGAGTGGTGTTACCAGGCCACTTCACCTTGAATGGTCCCTTGAAATGTGTTAATTACTTATGCTAAACAATCCCTTTCACCTTGTATTAGCAGTGACACTGAGTACCTTTCCCAGACCTAAAGAAGAGCTCTGCGTAAACTGAAAAGCTTGTCTCTTTCACCAACATAAGCAGATCCTATAAAAGATATTACCTCACCCACCTTGTGTCCCTAATATCTTGGGACCAACCAGGCTACTGTTAAAATTAGGCAGTTATGCAAATTGCTTTTGTTGTTCAAATGTGAAATTGTACAAAAATAGCTATTTCCTTGGACAAGATTAGTTCGTTAAACTTTTCTTTCTTCATCAATAAAGATATATATGAGGGTGATTTATCTAGTGCCTGTAAGTGCATGTAGCTCATTTCCACATGTAAGTTGCATTTGAACCTTAACAAATCTTATTTGTTTTCAAAAACTTATAAAATGTTATCTAACTTTATGATATAAAAATAGTGATCAAGGTTTTAGAAAGTGGCTCATTGGTTTGTTTAATTTTTAGATTAGAACTGAAAACTAAATTTGAAAAATCTACTTCAAAGTACAATTTCACAAAATGGTACTGAGCATAAGATGTAAAAACAGTATTTTTAACCTCGGTGACTGTTCTCTAAGAATGAACTTAAAAATGAAGAATGTCTTAATTAAGTTAAACATTTACAGGATTACTGATAGTTTTGTGGATTTTTTGAACTGCTGTTCCATACTTGGTGTTTACTTGCATAATTCTGTTACTGAACAAATTATAAGGTTTTTTTTGTTTTTGTTTTAATTCGTTTTTCAGTGTCATCCATGCTCCTTTACCAAGTCCTGTTGACAAGGTAAGTCATTCGTACTCTGTCTTTAATTAAAAAGTTGAAAGAATGAGAAAAACCTAACTACTTGTGGGTGTGACTTGCATTGAATTACTTTACATGGTTTAATATTTTTACTGTTTTAAAAAAAATAAACATTAGTCATTCCTTCAGTATCACAAGGATATGCATGGCAGGCTGAGTTTTTATGGTATGGGAATACTCTACTTTTTCCACTACTAGTCAGGTGTGGAAACGTTGGCAAAATAACACGAAGCATGACATGCTTGGGTAAATCAAGATGGGCAGAATTATAGAGCATCAAAGGTGGTAACAAGAAGGACGTTGATGCAATAGGACAGAGGCAATGAGAGATTCAAAAAGCGGAGTGACATGAGCAAAATGAGTGGCATGGCAGATGGCTTTTGCTGCAGTATGTTCTATGGCAGGGGTGGGCAAACTTTTTGGCCCGAGGGCCACATCGGGGTTGCGCAACTGTATGGAGGGCCGGTTAGGGAAGGCTGTGCCTCCCCAAACAGCCTGGCCACCACCCCCTCCCACTTCCTGCCCCCTGACTGCGCCCCTCAGAACTCCCAACCCATCCACACCCCTGCCCCCTGACTGCCTCCCTCCCCTGGACTCCCATCCCCTATCCAACCACTCTCTGTTCCTCGTCCCCTGACCACCCCCTCCCGGGACCCACCACTCCTAACTGCCCCCCGGGATCCCACCCCTTATCCAACCCCCCCGTCCCCTGGCTGCCCTCCCGACCCCTATCCACATCCCTGCCCCCTGACAGGCCCCCCGGGACTCCCACTTCCAACCCTCCCTATTCCCCATCCCCCGACTGCCCCCCCCCCAGAACCTCTGCCCCATCCAACCGCCCCCTCCTCTCTGACAGCCTCCCAGGACCCACCGTGTCCCGCCCCCTTACCAGCAGCAGGAGCTCGCAGCCGCGAGACCCAGCCAGAGCCAGCTGCACTCCCCACGCTCCCCAGTCTGGAGACTAGGCTCCCCAGCCAGGAGCTCAGGGGCTGGGCAGGATGTGGCCCGCGGGCCGTAGTTTGCCCACATCTGTTCTATGGTTTGGAGTGTGAGACAATGTGAGTTTTAAGGAAGACTGAACGTTATATCCCGCCTCAACTACTGTGACATCTACAATTGTAAATTTGAGTGATATCCCATACTTAAAAAAAATGTTATGGAGCCCTTTACTCAGTGGATAAGAGATAATTAGATTAGGAACAGTGAAGTGACAACATCATTTGTTGACTTTTATTATAATGAGTTTGTTGACAGTTTGGGGGATGCACATGTATATCTCAAGCCTCTACCTGCCCTGAGCCAAGGCTATAAATAACCTGATGTCTATTCCTCTGCCTGACAAACTGTCTTTATGAACCTGTTCCTTTTCACTTTTGTCTGTGTCTGGCAGTGTTTTTTTAATTACTATTATTATTCCTGTTTTAAGTATTTCTTAGATATTTCCCAACAAAACAAAACCCTCAACTTAGTTGAGAGCTCTCCACCAGTTCCGAATCTTATGGCAGATCAGGTATTGAAGCAAAGTTGCATCTCTTGTTCCCACGAGTTTTCTGCTCTTGGTGGGTCTGGAGAGAGTATAGCATGATTAGGAGAATGACTTTCTGCTGTTTTGTAGGTCTTTCTCTAAGTTGGCCCAAGCCAGACTCTAAAGCCTCCTTATGCAAGAGTCATTGTCAAACAAAGCATTAGAGAAAATGTTGTGGTCCTTGGCATGTTGCAAAAGATAGGTAGTAATGAGGCCTCACCCAAAATTTTTGACTGAATTGGTTTTACCTTTTCATTTGAATCAGTCCATTGCTGATTTATTTCCATGACCGTTCAGCCATGCTGGAGGGACATCAGATGATATTAAGAGCAGTCAGCTACTATTTAGATAGAACTTTTCAAAAATCGTACTGCAGATATGTGGATTTCACTTTTTGTGTGTGGTGGAAGAAACTTGTGCAGACTGATGCTTTGTTTAGAATAGAATATATTATAGGAAGGTAGCATGGTTTAACTGGACTAGGAGTTAGGAGACCTGGGTTTCATATCCAGCACTGCCCCTGACCTGCTGTATGATCTCGTGCAAGTGGTTTCACTTCTGTGCATCTGTTGCCTTCCAAGCCTTTGTGTGTGTTTTTTTAATGTAGATCGTAAACTCTTGAGGGGAGTGATTTTTTTCAGTATCTGTTTGTTTGTACAGAGCGTAGCACAGTCGGGCCTCAGTCCTGTTTGGGGCTTGTAGGTAACGTATTGTAATACATACAGTAATGGTAGAATAGTAAAGGTGCTAAGAGGAAAAAGAACTGGTAGGCAGTGATCTTCCTTAAATTACAGATACTTTGAATTGTCTGAGTTTGATGTAGAATACTCGACGTGATTTTGATAATATTTTCTTATTTCATAGGTTGCTGCTAACACTCCCAGTATGTACTCTCAGGAACTGTTTCAGCTTTCTCAGTATCTACAGGTAAAATTGTTTTTCTATGAAGACATTCCTTTTTTACTCATTAATTTGATAGTTTATGCAAATAACACAACCAAGTAGTTAATTTTTGTTCAGAATGTAAATCTTTCATATGTATGTGTACACCTGTGTATGTTCAAAGTATGATTCAGTTTATAAACACTAACAGTTAAGAATTAGCTGCCTTTTCTGTTGAAAACAGCATAAAATATATGGTAATTGCCCTTGTTTGGTATTTCTTTTATGAATATTTTTATTTGGCTTGCATAAGTATAGAATTCTATATATGCACATCCCTGCAGACGTGACAGTGGTTTCATATGCTATATGCATCTGTATAAACATAAATCTGGTACTCCCTCACTTTGCTTAGAATTGAGAATATGTTCCACCTTCTTGTATTTATAATTCTGCTTTGGAATCATTTTAATACTCGAAAAATATTAAAGGGCTGTCTGTGAAGCTTTTTAGTAGTATGAGTATGGAGAATATGAATGGGAATTACTAAAATGCATTAACATATCACTCTGGATTTTTAAAGAAATAATTTTTATCTTATCACTTAACCACCATTTTTTCTTTTAAATAGATTTTTATCTTTATTTTCGTTCCCCTTTCTACAAAATGTAGTATAAATGTAGGTTATGTAGATTGGTTGGTTGTAGGAAAAATTATAATTCCAGTGAGAGGAAGAGGTATGTTAAAGAAAATTTTAGCATTTGGGAAAAGATGAAGGGAAAGGGATGATGGATTAGCTTGCATGCATGGCATATTTCCTTTTGATTCTGGAACTAGGAAGTAGCATTTATGTTCTGAACTGTGAATCACGATCTGTGAGGTTGATAATGATAGTTGGATTTGTGGAACTGTGTATTTTTAGAAATGCTTCCCAAAGTTCCTCTAAGGCATGCAAAAGCATCTTGCTACCTTCTTGCTGTTAGTGCCAAATAGTTCTGGTAATCATAAAGCTACTCTGAGGTAAAAGGCAAATATGTGCTTTGTTGCATTCCTCTATTAGAAGGGAATGTGGATTTCTCCGTGTCAAACTGATTTGATGGGAAAGTGCCAGGAGTAAGCAGAAGTGACTTTGACCTATAATTTGGACTGATATCATCTGCCTAGCAGTGCAATAGACAATCTTATTTGTAAATCTTTACATAGTCTGTTTTAGGCTTCACCTAGTAAATCTTGCAGTTCTCTAAAAATAGAAAAGGTTTAGATAGCCTCTTATGGTTTAATCTAGTAGAGCGTTATAGGAATAAAACACTTGTACACTTCAAGGGCAGAAAGGACCATTGTGATCATATAGTCTGACCTCCTGCACATTGCAGGCCACAGAACTTCACCCATCCACTCATGTAATAGATCCCTAACCTCTGGCTTGAGTTACTGAAGTCCTCAAATCATCATTTAAAGACTTGAAGTTACAGAGAATCCAACATTGCACTAGTTTAAACCTGCAAGGTCTCTCTGCCAATCTGACCCGGGGGAAATTCCTTCCCGACCCCACATATGGTGATTAGTTAGACTCTGAGCATGTGTGCAAGACTTACGATCATCAGATAAAATACTGCTCACTCACCTATAAGATCATCCATGAGGTTATGTAAAGATTTTTACAGAATAAGTCTTTAATCTCTGAAAATCTTGTGATTTAGATTTCTTTCCTGGGAAATAACCCTGCTTATGGGAATTAACTTTTTCAGAATGGTAGTTGAATTGCAGATATTGGTAATTATTTCATTTATTGATTATATTGAGCATGATCTGTGTGTACTATAAATGTGTACACGCTGATATTTATATAAATTTTCTTGCAGATAGCATGCTTTGAGAATCTGAGACTAGAACTTTCTTCTTGCCAAATGTAACCTCCAAGTTTCTGGTACTCTTCAAGATCTGATAAATGTGCCTCCAAGCCTCTCTGAATAGAGAAGGGTAAACTGCACCATCTAGTGGCTTGAAGGAGAACTTTAAAAACTATTTGTTTAGAAACTAGTTTTTCACTTAAACTTAATTAATGGAGTAGCTAACTTGTACTAGAATTGGGCAAGGTACCTACTGTAAACTTGTTTATTCAAGACACACAAGGCCTGACTTTGTTCTCACTTATACTAGTTTCACATAGGTGTAACTGATTTCAGCAGTTATTCCTTGTTTACTCTGGTGTGACAGCCTGCTCAGGCTTTTTGACTCTGTTACATAATTCATTTATTTTCTATTTTGGTAACCATTTATAAAACCAATACTTTTCTGGTGCTCAGTTAATATAATTTACGCTGCTTTCCCCTTTCTGCCTTCCTACATGTAACTAGATTTTAATATGGCACTGAATTGCTTAACACCTATATTTACTTTACTGAGTAGGATGTGACATGACTGGGAATATACAGGTGAACTTATTCACTCTGAAACTGATAGCCACCTTTACTGAGGGACCTATGGATGGGCCACAAAATAGCGGGCTCATAGTATCCAAATAACCCTTTTTCAAGAGGGATTGTAGAAATAAATGTTTATTTGAAAATAACGTGTAAATCATCCCTACTGACAATTCTCTCTACCTTCAATTACATTTCTGACATTTGTTTTCAGTTTACAGGTGGTAATTTTGAATCTTGTTTAGATTGTAATCTGTTTGAAGCAGGGACTGACTTTTTGTTGTGTATGTACAGGGCCTAGCACAGTGGGGCCCTGTTCCCTGATTGAGCCCTGTGTTTGATAGTGAAATGCACATTCAAGATGGCATAATGTTCATTTAAGGAAACCAGTTCTAATAAGTACAGTAGGAGGATTGCCCATGTAATAACGGAAGCTATATTTATATGATGGTAGTGCCTAGAGATCCCAGAGACTGGGAACCCATTCTTCAAGGCATTGTATGTACCCGTAACAAAAACAATGCCTGCCCCCAAAGAGCTTATAATCTAATTAGATGGTAAAAGCACAATACTGTACTTCCCATTTTACTCCTGAAAGCAGACTTCCATTTTACATATACAAATTATACAAATATTTAAGATACTATAACTTAAGAAATCCTTTGTGAATTAATGAAGGACAGAACAGGTTATCAAACTTTCAATCTGGCAACATATTGTATACCTCCGTTAATGTTCATAACGCTCTGTGTTAATTTCTTTTGAATAAAGCAACAGTAACCTAGGCTAGAAAGTTCATTATAATATTGTTCAGTAGAAGAGTGTAGCATTATATAATAAGTCCAGATTTTAAAATGTGCATGGACAGTTTGTGTGGAGTTATGGTAATTGTGTGTGGAAATGGCCAATTGGACATTTAGCTGGTCCTTTGTGCATGCATATTATTGTGTACATTTAAAAAACTGTGCCCACTTTATACATATAATTGAATCAATGTTTGGTTTTACATGGTATATATGGTTGTAAATTAATTCAGAGGACTGACGAAAATTTGTCCCTTAAAGGTAGCGTTTAATAAAAGGTTAAAACACACTATAGATATATTTTAAAGTGTGTGTTGCCTTTTAGAGATGATCCTGATTGTACATTTCAGTGTATAAGTGGTCTTAGAGTGTTTACTCCTGGGGAATTCCGAACCAAAAAAATTAAAATTCTGCATACAATATTTTAAAACTCTGCAAATTCTATTTGTCAAAATAACATTATATAATCATACCAGTTTCAATTATTTTGGTAATTTATTTCAAAATACCTGTCAGCAAGTATGTCTGTAATAATACAGACATGCACAAAAATTCCCCAGGAGTAGAGTTAAAGAAACCTCTATGATAGCCCAGTTCCTGCTTCTATGCCCTCCACCTCCCCCAAAGAGCCCAGCTGCAGGGCCGCCCTGGCCCAGACGCGATCACTCCCTATCCCCCCCAGAGCCCAGTCATGGGGGCTTTCCCTGGCCCAGAGGCTTGCATCCTCTCCCCCCTAGAGCCCAGGAATCCAGAGGGAGAAGCAGATTGATGCTGGGTCCTGGGATTGCATGGAGTTTCCTGCATGCTGCTTCCTTCCTTCAGGGCATGCTGGGAACTGCAGCTGCCAGGAACCTTCCAGCTTCTACTCCCCATCCCCCGGCAGTGTCTTCTACATGCAAGCTGGGCTCTTACTGGGTCCAGCAGCCCCTAGTGATGGCCAGTAGCTCTGCAGCCCATTTCTGTCAGTGGGGAGAGGGAAATTCTGCATGCACAACATAAATTTCTGCAAAATTCTGCATTGCGCAGTGGCGCAGAATCCATAAGTGTTAAAAATAAGGGTCCGTATAGTATACACAATAACAAGCTGGATCTAAATTATGTGATAAGATTTCTACAGTTCTCTAGTGTTAAGTTCTGTAGGAAAGCTGAAAATTCTGAGGTAGGTGTTAAATGTAAAAAATTGAGGTTGTGTATTATGAAAATTAATTATCACTATGGTATTGCATTTATTTTAATATTAAAATACTTATGCTGCCCTTCCCTCGTTTTGATATTTTAATTCTCCCACTGTTTTTTTAAATATTGATATAGTACTAACTTCACTGTAGAGGTTATTTTGGCTTTTAGAGAAGGACAAATAGATATGAACAGGAAGTTTTAACAAATGGGATAATGAAAAATTGGGGCATTTGGTACTTGTAAAAGTGTGGGAAGGAGTCTGGGGGTTTCGGCTTCCAGGAAGTGCTTGAAGGTTTTGTCACTAGTGATAACATTAAATGCTGCTTCTCTTTCCTAGCACCATGTGGGCAGGTGCAGGATTGATTTGGGATTTGCAGGGATGGGGAGAGCTTTACTTCCTAATTTTTCATCCAGCAATCAGCCATCCCATTGCCGTAGTCCAGTAACAATCATTGCATTGAACAGCAACGGATAGCACACCACTGACTGTTCCTGCTATAAAGTGCTCAGCAGTAAAATAGTTAATGTTGACATTTAAACTGTTATCATGCTTCAGTTAGCATCCAGAGATGAGTGGGGCAGGTCGTACCTCAGAGCTATTGTTTCAGGCTCAGAAAGACAACACTGCAGTAGTTTATATTCAGCTGATATTTTAAAGATAAGCTAATGCTAGATACTTACTTTTAAATAAAAGCTGAAGTGAAAGTCCCAGTCTGGGACTGTGGTTTAGCGTACTGTGTTCTGAAATAGCAGTATGTTAAGCTGTACTCAAGAACTTTTACTGGATTGTAGCAGTGTCCACATGGCAAGCTGGTGTTCTATAGATTCAGCCCAGGTTCGCAGCATAGTAACTTTCCATCTAGGCAAGCCCGTAGTGAACTCAAAATGATCCTTCCATCTGTGGAAAGAAAAAACATAGCCTACCTTTTTTTTAGTTTGGCATTTTCATGTAATTTAACAGAAAAGATAGTTAGAATCTCCTATATGATACTTCATATTTAAAATACTACCTAGTTCTCTGAAAAACTTGCTCTTGACTTCATTATATGTATTGCTATTCTTCACACATTGTATGCACATCAATGTATGTATTATTACACTCCTATTTTTGTCAGATGTAATTATACAGTTTATTATGTGTTTGTTTAAATATTACCTACTGCTAAGTTAATAGTAGCTCGCAAGTAGAAGTAATAAAAGTTTTGCCTTTTAAAAATCCGTATTTGTTGGCCTATTCTTTGATGGGGAGCAGTGAATATATCAGAATTTTTTCATTGTATCTAATTACATTTAAGAATATTTTTATCTTAAAACAGTTTTATAAAAATTAGTCCATAAGGTAAATCGAAAGACTTGAAAAACTGTTCTTTTTTGTAGTCCACTTCTCCAAACAAATTTACAGCAAATTCATGTGAACATAAACAGTCTTCTCTTGATGTCACCACTAAGTTAATTTTTTGTTTACCATTAAACTAGCTTCTACACAGTATAAAAATTGAGTTTTTCTCTCTCTCTATTCAGCTGTAGTTGTAAGAAGCGAAGTGTCATGATGTCATTACATTTCTAATATGTACAGGGTAGAGTAGAAGCTGATCCATGTTATTGATTAATATAACGTAACTTTTTCCTAAAGCATGTACTTTAGAATATAGTTGTAATTTTCTGTAAAATCTAACTTTTGAAAGGTAAAATGAAGTTCTAGTCCTTTATTTCCAGCATAATCTCACAAAATCACTTTGAATAGGGCTTTATCCCCAGCCTTTACAAATATAGAACCCAGCAATAAGTTGCTATTGAGACTTTGTCAAAGTGTTCTTGCACCAAATGTACCTGTCCTGTAGTGTATCTGAAACTGGTATGAAAAGGATGGCTTTAAGAATCTAAGCTTGTAGTGTAACACCTTTTCACTTAAACATGTACAGGAATATGTATAAACAAAAATGAATTTAAATTTGCTAGTGCATTGCTGTAACTTAAAATGATTGAACATATGAGTTAAAATCTTTTCACCCCCTTTTTTTCAGTTTAACAGTATTTGGTTATACATTGCATTGCTTCTGTTTTTCCCAATAGTTAGTTTGAACTGACCTGCTTGTATTTATATTTTCATCGTAGGAGGCCTTACATCGGGAACAAATGTTGGAACAGAAGTTGGCTACCCTTCAGCGACTGCTTGCTGTCACACAGGAGGCTTCAGATACTAGTTGGCAGGTATTTGCAAGATTTCTCTTAATGTACAGGCCTAAGAACTTAATATACAGTGGGCTGTAAACTGTAACTTTCAATTATTATAATAAATAAGAGTAAAAGTTGAAGGTTGGTTCTCTCCCTTAAATGAGAAGGAGACATTACTCCTAATCGACTAAGTTCACACGTACATTTATCTTAGAACTAACCAGCACTACTAATTGCTTCCGAAGTGAATGTCTCTAAAGGAAGTGATATTTACCTTTTTCAGATATTTAATGTCTAGAATTTTCTTACGAAATGCAAAAACAGTATAAACATTTTGTTTTATTCTGTTAATTTAAATTTATTATATTTTCCAACAGGCTTTAATAGATGAAGACAGACTACTATCAAGGTTAGAAGTCATGGGAAACCAATTACAAGCCTGTTCAAAAGTAGGTAGTTCACTTCAGATTAATTATATAGTATTTAGGAATGTTGAATGGCAGTGTCCTCCTGAAATTTTTCAAAATTAGAAAGTTGTTGTCAAGCAAACTTCCAGTGCAGATGGAGCACAAACTTTCAAATAGGCTCCCTGAAGCTTCAGTGTGGTGGGATTTTGGCTGGCTGGCAGGGAGAAAAGGGTCCTCGCTCCTTTAAGATTGCCCACATTGCCTTGGGTTTCGAGGAATAGACAGGAAATGGCTGGTAGTGCACTGATAGAAATGAGTAGTTTTTGTTTTAATTTTTGTTACTTTAGTAATCAAATCTGTTTCTAGAGTCTGCTGCCCTAAACATTCTAGCAAATGCCTGTCTCATACCAGTTTATACCCCGCTGGACAAATAGCCACTGAACATTTTGTTGCCCTTAAGATTTTGTTACAATTGTCAAAATTGTTACTCTATTCTTCTTGGAAAAGTAGATCTTTAATGGTAGCTTAATAGAGAGAACTACTGCATGTTCAACAAAATGTTAACCTACAATAGAGTGTTGTTTTGAGATATAGATCCACTGTGTTAAACTTCTACTGACAGAATCAAACAGAAGATAGTATACGAAAGGAACTTGTAGCATTACAGGAAGACAAACACAACTATGAGACAACAGCCAAAGAGTCCCTGAGGCGGGTCCTTCAGGAGAAAATTGAGGTGGTCAGAAAACTCTCTGAAGTGGAGGTATTTAGATTTTGTTTATTTTATAATCAATGTTGTAGCACGATGTGCATATTCCGAACAGCTAGTCCTTTACTCTAATCTAGCACTTGCACTGCACCAGCATATGTTTATGTTGTATTAGTATTCTAGGAACAGTATACTGGAAAGTACTGGAGATGTGCATTTTGCCTGTTATACAGTATTTTAAGCAACAAGGAAGAAGTTAATGCACAGTAATGAAAATAGTGATAGATCAGTAACTAAAGTCCTTATTTTTCATTTTTTTTTAAAAACTCAGTGAAAGTGTTCTCCATGCAGAAATTAGAGTGCTGTATAATTCCTGTTTCCCATATGACATACTTCATATATTTAAAAAATATAGTTTGACAGTAGTTAAATAAGACTTTTAAAATGAAAGCTTAACGGGTCATGCAAAATACCATTTAAGAATTTTTTTTAACGAAATTTCATTGGCCACAATCTACCAACTGTTTTTTTTTATTCCCTTCCTTCAAATCCTTCCTCAACAATTGCTTTTTTTCCTTCCTTTTCACCAGTGATCTCTATCTATTCCTTTCCTCTTATCCGGTTTAATTCTCATTTTAAAAAGTAACAGAATTTAAACTCTACTCACAATATAATTAAACCCACTGTTATACTCTTTAATTCCTGTTTTTCTTACTCCTTTCTTTTATCTTCATTTTCTGTGTCCACTTACTACAATGAGTAATTTGTGTTACTATGAGTAGTCTCATGGCTTCAATCAAATTATTCATGTGTATAAAGTTTCTCTCATGCATAAATGTTAAAATTGGGCCTCTAGATTTGTAAACTCTTTCGGTAGGACCTGTCTTTTTTATGTATGGAAGGTATCATGAAATGTTATGGCACTATTATAAACTTCAGGCTTGACATATAAATACACTTATTTTTTGTTTTGTTACTTCTCTTGACAAGTTTGCTAATTATTGCAGGTGCATTTTTGCTCCTCCAAACACACTTCTTTTTGATCCTGTAATAAAATCATAATACCAAATTTGTGACACATTTTGATATATTAATTTCCTTGTCTCTGAGAGAAAATTCTTAATCAAATCCTAATTTGATTTTGAATTACTTTTTTTTTTTTTTCAAATTTGCTCCTCTCTAAAAGTCCTTCGGTATTTGCAGATGGAGTTTGTAGTTGAATGCTTTTGTTAAATGTGCATTTCACCCCTTTCTTGATGATGTAGTTACTAGGGGAATCTAAGCTCAGATGCTGCTTCAGGTTTTTGGTAAAATAATGCAACAACTACTCAGGTTATTGCTGTGTGCACTGTTGCCAGAGATTTTTCCCTTTGTAGTATCTGTTGGGCCGGCTCTAGTGCCTTCTAGAGTCATGCATGTATGCGCTGGTATAAGGGACCCAGCCAGCCGTGCACCCTCTCAGTTCCTCCTTACCACCCGTGACAGTTGCTGGAACGACCCTTTCTTGCTCTGGCAAGATTTCTTCCTCCTGATTTCAGACTCTTTCTTCATTCATATTGTTAACAGTTTAATGTATATAGTGTGTGCAAATTGTGACCGTGTATATAGTTCCTATCATCAAAGGACTTTTCGCCCCAGGGGCCGGGCATGCCCAGTCCCCGGGCTACAAGCCTTGTGCCTGTGAGTGACCCACACTTGAGTTGCTTAAAGAGCTTGGGAAAGACATGTGAAAGACTAGTGCAAAATCTGTTGAGACTTCAGGCTAAAGGCTATCCTCATGGAAGCTGCCCTCAAACTGGGTCTCAGCGCAGACCCAGTTCAGTGCTGAGTATTTTGGCATTGGTGCGAAGCACCCCCCCAGCACAAAGCTCTTCCCAGCACCATTCTCCATCCCCAGTGCCGAGGAAGAAGAACAAAAAGCAGTGTCCCGAGAAAGGGTGCTCGCTAGTGCAGAAGAGAGACAAGCAGGGAGAGGGAGTGAGACCTGTACCGGGCCGCTCTTCTACACCTGGATCCACGTTGGCACCATCAACTTCACCAAGGGCATTGAGTCCAGTGAGGGACCCTCCACTAACACCAGGGAGCTACGGTGGTACCAATGGACTCATGGTGCTATCAACCCCAGAGTCTTTTCAGACAGTTAGGGACCTTTTCTCTCTTCCAGCCCAACAGGGCATCTACCAGCTCCAGCATCTGGAAGCGGGAGGGAACAGGGTGTATCAGGTGCCTTCGTGGCACCAGGTGTCCCGGCACCATCCAGGGGCAAGTCCCACCTGATGCCAGCATCCCACTCCCTGCACGCTGCAGAACCCCAGCACCATATGGAAGCGGAAGCAGGTATTGCTCCACTGTGGTTCCCAAGAGAGAAATCCTCTTTGGAGTCCAAAGGGGAATCATACGTACTGCCAAAAGCCCATCATTGGTACCCAGCCTATGCCCCAGCAAGCTTCACTGCCTATCCCCTGGCGAACACCTAGCCAGCGGGTCACTGGCTGATGCAGTGGCTTTACTGGAATCCCTGGGGGTTTCCCCTGGAATCAGGGCCTGTCTCCCACTGCTCCTACTCGGTGGCCTCCGAGAGACAGGCCACCACTCCTTCCCACTCAGATCTAGACTCCGATATCGCCCCCACTACTGAAGTCCAGGAGAAGCCTCTAATCAACATAGTTGAGGAAGAGGAAGGAGCCCCTCCTCTGGGGCAAACTTCCTCCTCGTCCTCCCCAGATGAGGTTGTTGCGGGTCCCAGCAGCCTACTTCCTCAGTATAATTTCAGGGCCCCTCAGAACCTTCTGAAGCGGATCGCTTCAAACCTGGGCTTGGCTATCAAGGAGCCCAAAGAGACATCGCACAGCCTTATTGATATCTTGGCTGCAGCAGCTCCATCCAAAGTGGCCCTGCCCATCAATGAGGGTGGTGATGGGACCAGTCAAGGCCTTTGGCAAACTCCTTCTTCTCTGACCCTCACTTCAAAGAGGGGAGAGGAAAAATATTATTTGCCAGCAAGCGTGTTTAATTACCTATACTCACACCCTCCCCAGGGTCCCTGATGGTGTCTGCCGCTAATGAAAGGGACAGGCAGGGCCAGTTGAGTGCTACCTCTGAAACAAAAAGACACTAACAAACTGGACCTTATTGGGGGGAAAAAGGTTTATTCCACGGGTAGCTCCAATCAGCAAACTTTGCTGGGGAAATACTATTTTAATCTGTGGGACTCCCTGAATAAGTTCAAAGACTCCCTGCCTCAAGCATCGAGTCCGGAGTTTGCCACCCTCCGAGAAGAGGATAAGAACGTGGCCAGGACCTCTCTACAGGGGGCTCTGGATGCTGCTGACTTGGCAGCCCGGACAATAACCTCCGCAGTCACAATGAGGTGCTGTTCCTGGCTCCAGTCCTCGCGAGATCCAACAGTCAATCCGTTTGAAGGCTATTCCCTTTTCTCGGAGCAGATGGACACAAGACTTCACGGACTGAAGGACTCAGGGCCACCCTATGATCCTTAGGCCTGTATGTGCTGTCTGCCTTCAGAAAACACTTGAGGCCTCAGCAGCTTCCTCAGTTTTTGGGACCTTCAAAATAGGAGCCCTACAAAAGAAAAGGCAGAGGTTATAAACAGCGCCAACCGTTCCTGTCCACCTCAGCCTCCCAGGCAGGGCCCCAGAGATACTCCAGCAGGCCTTTTGAAGGTGCGCTTGAAGAGGGTGCTGTACCAGTCGCCATTTCAAATCCCCAGCCATTTTATTTTTGGACCATCTGTTGCTCTTCAGTCTGGCTTGGGCATCCGTAACATCGGACAAATGGGTCCTGAGTACAGTGACAGTCAGATATACCCTTCAGTTTTTATCCACTCCTCCTTCCCAGCCCTCTTCTGGGACCATTCTCATGAGCAGTTCCTTGTCCAGGAGGTGCAGTCCCTCCTACATATGAGGGCTGTGGAGGAAGTTCCTCAAGACTTGAGAGGGAAGGGATTTTACTCCCAATATTTCCTAATCTCAAAGGCAAAAAGGGGGGGTCTGGGCCATCCTGGACCTGCATTGCCTCAACGGGTATTTCAAGAAACTGAGGTTCCGCATGGCCTCCCTGCCCTCCATCATTCCCTCCCTGGACCCAGGAGACTGTTATGCCACCCACTACCTGAAGGATGCATGCCTTCACATTTCTATATTCTGGGGCCACAGAAGATTTCTCAAATTTGTAGTCGGTAATCACCACTACCAATTCACTGCCCTTCCCTTCGGCCTATCAGTAGCTCCAAGGGTTTTTATGAAGAGTATGGCGATTATAGCAGCCTTCCTCAGGCGGCGAGATGTTCAGGCCTACCTGTCCCTTGATCAAAGGTTGGTCACAGGCTCAAGCGCAAGACAGCATCGGTGCACAGTCCAAACCACCTTCAGAGTGCTGGGTCTGCTGATAAATGAGCAGCAGTCAACTCTTTCCCAGTTCAGAGAATTTATTGAGGCAGTGCTCGACTCAACCCAATCCAGGGCCTTCCTGCCAGACCATGGCAAACCTGATATCCAAGGTCTTGGCCCACCCAATCACAACAGCTCGAGTGTGCCTCAAGCTACTGGGTCACATGGTCACTTACATGGTGGTTCAATATGCAAGGCTGCACCTCAGGCCCCTTCAGATGTGGCTAGTGTCCGTATACTCCCCGAACAGACACCACTTACGATCCCTTTCCCGGTCCTCAACTTCCTGGGCTGGTGAAAGGAGTCAAGGTTGGTAATGAAGGGGGTGCCCTTTGTGGCTCCACAGCCTTCGGTGTCTTTTAGTTTTGGATGCGTCAGACCTAGGGTGAGGAGCCCACCTCAACAACCTCAGTACTCAGGGTCTCCGGTCCTGGGAAGAACTCTCCCTGCTCATAAATGTCAGGGAGCTCAGGGCAGTGCACCTGGCATATCAGGTGTTTCCCCAGATCTCAGGCAAGGTGGTTCAAGTTCTGACAGACAATACAGCAGGCATGTTCTATATAGACAATCAAGGAGGAGCCCAAACCTCTGCCCTGTGTCAGGAGGCATTGGTCTATGGTACTTCTGTGTTAGATAGTCCATTACTCTTGAGGCATCTCACCTCCCGGGAGTCCAGAACGTGTTGGCGGATCACCTCAGCAGTTCCTGCTCCTCTCACCATGAGTGGTCTCTTGCTCGGAGGTCGTCAGTGTCATCTTCCAAAGGTGGGGGCCTCTGCAGGTAAACCTGTTCACCAGGCAAAACAGAAAATGCCATCAGTTCTGTTTGTTGTCCGGACACAGTACGGGCTCCCTCTGACACCTTCCTGCTCTTGTGGTCAGGCCACCTACTGTACCCCTTTACAATGATTGCCTTGGTTCACAAGGTTCTCCTAAAAATTAAACGGGACAAGAGTTATCCTGATAGCACTGGTGTGGCCATGCCAGTATTAGTTTGGCATGCTTCTGGACCTCTCAGTGGCAGCTCCACTCTCACTGGTGTTATTCAAGGACAAGGTCCAACTGCACCCTCACGCAGCCTTCCTGCCAAAAGTGGTGTCACAATTCCACCACAACCAGGTCATTTTTCTACCTATCTTCTTCCCAAAACCTCTCAAAAGCTGTGAGGAACGACGACTTGTACATTGGGCATTAGGCAGATCCTCACTTTTTATATTGCGAGTATGAAGCCCTTCTGCAAATCCATGCAACTCTTCATGGCAGTAGTGGAAAGGATGAGAGGGCTGCCTGTGTCAGCCTAAAGAATTGTGTATGGATAATCGCCTGTATTCGGGCTTGCTATGAACAGGCGAATGTCTGGCCTCTAGTTACTATGACTGATAATTCCACAAGAGTCCGGGCTTCATCAGCAGCATTCCTTGCACAGATACCAATCCACAACATCTGCAGAGCCATGACCTTGTTGTCTCTTCATTCCTTCAATTCATACTGCATCATCATCCAACAAGCCCAGGACAATGCCAGTTTCAGGAGAGCAGTGTTGCAGTCAGCATGTCCATGAACTCCAAGCCCACCTCCTGGGTAACTGCTTGTGAGTTACCTAGCATGTTATGGACATGAGCAAGCACTCGGGGGGGAAAAAAACAGTTTCCAACTTTTCGTAACTGTTGTTCTTTGAGATGTGTTGCTCGTGTCCATTCCATGACCTACCCCTCTGTCAGAGTTACCAGCAAGAAGGAACTGAGAGGGTGCGAGGCCGGCGGCACCCCTTATATCCGTGCATAAGTGTGCAACTCCAGAGGGCACTAGAGCTAGCCCAATGGATACCAGTAAAGGAAAAATTTCCAGCAACAGTGCACATGGCATGCACACAGCTAGCGTGGAATAGATATCAGTAACACATCTCGAAGAACAACAGTTATGGAAGGTTAGTAACCATTTTTTTTCCAGAGCCTACTGTAATTTTTTTCTTGCACACACAACTTGTTTCTCCACTTAATGTATGATTATTCTTATTTAAATTGAATGTTACAAAGGTGTTTTTAAATAGGTAGTATTTTTGCCAACACTTGATCTATCCATTTGGCCATTATTAACAATTAGAAGCAAGGAGGTTTTTAGATCATATTTCTTGTCACAAATTGAAACATTCAGTATCAAATGTCAATATCCATAAACTGTCGCTATTTTTGGTTTTCACATGCACTAATTTTTTCCTTATAGCGAAGTTTAAGTAACACTGAAGATGAATGTACTCACCTGAAAGAAATGAATGAGCGGACTCAGGAAGAATTAAGAGAATTAGCAAACAAGTACAATGGAGCTGTAAATGAAATTAAAGACCTCTCTGACAAACTAAAGGTAAGGACAGAACTTTATCTAACTTCTGCAATTGTTAGCAATGCTAGAGTGCAAGGACTAAATAAAAACTATTAATAACATTCTCATAACTTTTTTTTTTTTAACCACCAGAGAGGGAGTGACATGGCTCTTTCAAGCTGGTAAATGACAATACAGACCTGTTTCATGAACCTAAGCATTTTGATCGGTGAAATGAGAAACTCAAACAGTTAAGCTGTCCTAAAAAGTTCTTTGGACACCTATGCTGTCCAAATGAAACTGAGATGTTTGTTCTCTTTTTTCCTATAATTTTCTAGTAATAAATTGTAAAAATAAATTGTTCTGGGATGCTTCATCTTTTGTTATGGTTCCAAACAAGGTGCGTCTAGACGGACAGAGGCTTCTAGGACAAATGATGGAATAAATTGCTGTGGAATTACATTAAAGAAATGGAAATGCAGGAGAAAATATATCCATATGAAATAAATAAGGTTTCCATGAACTTACTTGTGGAAAATGGCTTTGTAGAAAAAGTTTACAGATGGGTATTAAACTTTCTTTATCAGAGTGGCTAAAAAGGGAGTCCCATCTGAATGTTCACTCACATGAAAATTAAGTGCATCATTGTCTTATAACTAATTTTTTCTGACATTTGAGCAGGTGGCAGAAGGAAGACAAGAGGAAATCCAACAGAAGGGACAGGCAGAAAAAAAGGAATTGCAACATAAAATAAATGAAATGGAAGAGCGAGAACAAGAGCTTCAGGCAAAAATAGAAGCTTTACAAGCAGATAATGATTTCACCAATGAACGGCTAACTGCTTTACAAGGTCAGTCAGCTAGTCAAAAAATGCTTTGATTATATCTTTTTTTCTTTTATTCTGTGAAATATCTTTTTCTTGGAATTCTGTTTACAGTACGGTTAGAACACCTTCAAGAGAAAACTCTTAAAGAACACAACAGTTTAGGTAGGTGTGATATTAATGTTCTTTGCTTAAAGCTGGATTTCATCTTTAAATTCTTTACCCTATTAATTAATTATATTATAGCAATTCTTATGATCTAAGTATTGCTGACAATAGGAAAAAAGCGTTAAAATTATGCGTTTGGCTGTTGTTTCCTCTTAATCGCGATCATAGTTGCATTTGATGTGTTAAAAGTGAAAGTAATGCTGATGTAACAAAATACCAGAAGAGGGCACTGCCATTTAAAATGTTCATTAAGTTTTTCTTTTGTTTATTGCTAGCTTGTGAACTCAAATATGTTTGTGTAGGAAATCGTTGTTTGGTTTTTTTTTTAAAACATTTACTTAATGGACGGTAATTTTTGGATGATGGTAATTTTTGACACATTTGATCAATATGTGACACTTTCTTGCACGACGGATCCTATCATTAAATTGTATCATGTGTCCTAACATAGATTATTTGATTTGATTGTTGCTTCAATACTTAGGATAAGGAGGCAGTATGGAAAGCCAATTACATTTCACAGTGTGCTACATAAAATACTTGGCTTGAATCCAGAAATAATACCCTTTCTTAATCGTAGGCATACAAGTTGATGACTTCATACCTAAAATTAATGGGAGCGCAGAAAAAGGTAGTGTATCTTAAATAAAGACTAACTTTTTTCTTATAGTTTCTGTTTAAACTTGAACAAATTATGTTTATTCTCTAAGATTTTGGTTTTAATATTTCCTGTTATTTTTTTAAAACAAACAAACAAAAAATGTAGATTGTCACCTGTTAAAAAGACAGTCTTTTTGGTTAGACTCCAATAAGGCTTTTCAAAACCTAATGAGCCAAATCAGGAAGTAATAGCTCAACCTTTCTTCAGATGGACTCCCATTGAATTCAAAGGAAGTCTGTCTGCCTAAGATGTCAGGATCCTGCCACTATATTAGCAGAAATAGTTTCATTACTTTTAAAAAATCAGTGTAAACATTTTTGTACTTGCTTGCCACCCAGACATTGTACCCTTCAGCTAGTAAGTCAGAAGAGGTAAGTAAATAGGTCTGACTAGAAGCAAATGAATGTTTCAAAGTCTACCTTGAGTGAAATATAGAAGTATATAAACAACATAAATGGTAAAACTAAATAAGATTTTTAAAATGCAGTTTTTATCTAAGATGGTAATAAAACAGATACAGTAACCTCCTTTTTCCACAAATGAATTTAAAATGATTTTTTATGACCTGTGTCCCTTTAAGTTAAATACACTTTTTTAAACTTTACTTTTTTGGGGTTTAATTACCTATATATTTTAAGACTGGGATTGCTTTTTCCTGCTGTCAAAAAGTGTTCATTATCACACCATATATAGTAATCAACCCCAGGCTTTGACCACATACAGAGTGGTGCTCGTGTATGAGGCTAGAACTAGGCCTAGAATAGTTTATTATAAAACATTGGAAAAGACTTAAAATTTGCAATAAATAATCATAATTTAATTTTTTGTCATATATATGAAAATATGTACTATAAATGGTACTAAAATGGAAAAATATTTTTGCAATAAAGGACTTCTAAAATAACTTAGCGTGGTGAATGCTGAAGATGTTCTTTAATCTGCCACACTAAATACTGATAGTTTGAAAGCATCATTGCTTTTGGTCACTAATCTTATTTAATAAACTGGCACATATTGGTTCAGATCCAATGCTTTTTAAAAATGTTTATTCACCTTCTATAGAGTCAAAAGGGTTGTTACTGCTAATACAGTATTTTTTTTCCTAACGGAATGAGTTCTTCTATAGGGCTTAATTTTGGAAGTTTAATTTTGCTTGCATATTAAGTATTTGTCATAACTTTTAGCATGCAGACTTATTTTTGTCAATAAAGCCCTCCATCATCTTTCCAGCATGAATTCTCCCTTTACCATGCTTAACCTTGCCTCCAGTGCTATTCCAGACAGGGTTCTGAAGTTCTACCATTTCCTCCTTTTATATTTATTGATGTTCTCTTTCCACTAATAGATGTCTTGCTGCGGTTAATGACCTTACTGTATTGCATGGCCTCCATGGAGACTGATGATACTGTGAATTGTCCAGCAGAAAACACTTGTGTAGAGAGTTTGATTGAACAATGTCTGCAGCCTTTATAAGTGCCATATGCATTTTGAAGCAAACTTTAAAATACTATATATTGATCCTTTATTAGATTTGTATATAAACAGAGGCTTCTCATGTGAGGTTTGTAGCTATCTCAGAATGTATAAACCACACATGGGGAAAACTTAGAGTAATACCTAAAGAAAGTGAAAATGTGATGAACTTTACTTGTATGCTAAAGTCCCCAAAGTACCAGTTATCTCTCCTAACTCCATCCTGAATTCCAGACACTTAACTGTGATGCACATTGTCTCTTACTTCTTAGTGCTAATGTCTTTTGTATGATATTTCTCTGACCTACTGCCAAGTCACCGGATTGGTTGTAAATTATTTTTTTTAAATGATGTAGGGTTTTATCTTAGTGTCCATAGTTTCAAAACTTTGGAATTTTAACCTTAGTGACATTTTAATTATTGTTTAAGAAAGCTCTTCAGACGTAGTGTTGTTTTGAATCTCTAGAAAGCGATAATTTTTTGCATGAGGAAGTGCATTCACATTTTTTGTAAGTGAAAGAATTGGTTTCAAACAGAAATGTCATGTTGTTCAGTTACTGAAATTGTGACGTATCCTGTAGAAAACACTTTGGTGCACCATGATTACTTTTAATCTTCATGCTATCCAAACCATAAGAAAATTGAGGGTTAGGATTTTTTTCAGAAAGTAATACACACTTTGGACAAGAGTAGCTTAAAGCTAAGCTGAAATGTTTGGGTTTTTTGTTTTTTGTTTTTAATTGTGAACTTCCAGATTACAAATTTATGTATTTTAGAACAAAAAAGTTGAAAGGAACCGTGTCAAATCTAGAAATTTTTCAGAGTAGTTTTAGGTAATGCACACGCCAATTTTTATGGTTTTACATTTTAAAAATTCTCTCCCCATTGTTGTGACTGTAATGCCAGCTCTAAGCACTGAAAAATGGTGAGCCAAGCCCCCAAATGTAAGAGTCAAATTGGTTTAAAAATGATATTTAGATAAATAAATAAATTGTTGGTTTTTTGTTGGCTGTGGATTTTTTCAACTCTGGGGGGAAGCCTCGCACCCCCAATTTGTACATGGTCACCTGAGGTTCAAAATTTAATCTAAATACATAATCGTTCCTATTTGCCCTGTGTGTACACCCTGGGCTTCTTTGTGTCCCTCTCCAAGGACATGTAGGGCTGTGTGGGCGATCTGCCCTCATTTCCTTGTCAACCACCTTGGCCTGAGATGGAGCATTAATGTGCCTTACTTTCTAAGTCTATTTAGCCTAGTTAGGAGGGATTACAATTAAAGAGCAAAGAAAAAAAAATCACTTTAGTGCTAAACGGATTTTTTAAAATAAGGATAAAAATATTCAAATGTAGAATAAAATATGTAAAATTGTTTTTTTTTCCCCTTAGCGCAAGGATTCAATATATTTTTTTGTTCAGAACTAATAATATACTAATGGTAGGAACTGCTTTGTCTCTCAGTGCTATGGGGTTTGATATTTCAGTAAACTGCACTGTAAGAAGGTGTCAAGGATTGCATCATCTTATATATTCTAAATTGATTTTTAATTTAAGTCTGTTGGTGAACACTGAGTTAAATCTTTTTGGTGCAACTATAGATTTGTAGTGGAAGTAGAGGTGTGTGTGCGTGTGTGTGTAATTTATGACCTCGCTAAACTGAAATAGGTGTTCTAGTTGCTGCTAAATGTAGGAATTTTTATAAATGAATCAGTTACTAAACTTGTTAAATAAAGATTTTTAGAAATAGTATAATATTTCTTGAGGTAAATATTTTTCATTCATTTTCATTAACAACTTTCATAGAGTTTAGTATTAAAGTTTACACTTTAAAAATTGAATATACTTTAAATTGAATATGTTAAGTATACTTTCCCAATATTTTCTGCAACCAGGTCTAAAAAACAATCTATATAATTTCTAATCTCCAAAAAATAATTCTTAACTATTTCAACAGAATCTGTCGTGTCTGCTTGTATATTAGGTTGATTCACCATATTCAAATCTGAGAATAACGCCTAATTTACAAATATTTTAATGTATATTTCAGATTTTATAGTTAAATCAGTTCTAAGATGATGAGGAGATGTAAACTGAAGTGTTTCTTTCTTTACTAGAGCACTTTCTTTCAAAGAGTGGAGGGGACTGCACTTTTATTCATCAGTTCATAGAGTGCCAGAGTGAGTACAGAGCATTCATCACATTGACTTTAAAACAAAAAACCAAAATATCAAAAATGTCACTTGAAAAATACATTTGTTAGTACTACTTAATATTTCTGCAGTAGTGGAAATGCGCTGCAAGTAAAGAATTATGGCATTATGAACTCCAACAAAGCTGACTCTCTTTAAGAGTAGGAGATATCTTTGTTACTTTTGTAAAGTGCTGAGCACATGCTGTGTTTAACACTTAATCTATGATTACTTTCTATCCGCGAGAGAGTGAGTGCCACAGTGTTGCCGTATGCGTGTAAGATTGACCTAATTTTGCAACATTGATGGAAAATAAGAGAAACTGGAAGCCTGACTAACATTGCCAATTAAAACAAACATTGCAGGCTGCCGCAGACAGATAGGGATGAGGTAATAGTGCTTGTTGTCTCTTCTCTGTTTAGCATTATATATGTAATTTCTGATAATTTTAAGGTTTTATAATGCAGCTTGCGCTAGATCAAGTGCGACTGCAGGAACAGAACTATAAGAGACTGGTATTTTCATGTGGAAATATAAGATTTTTCATAGAATGCAAAGAAATGGAGCATAAGTGCTTACCACTGATCTTGTAGGGAGGCAGATAATTTTTGTGCTTAAGGTGAAAAACTTGCTTTTCAAAGCAAATGACTTTGAGGATAATTAGTAGAGAAGCAGTCATGTCTGCATGGAGCAAAGCTTTAAGAAAAAACTCCATTTCTGCTTAGTTTGTTCTGTGAGCTGGGACAGGAGCACCAGTTCGGGAGAAACCTGAAAGCACTATGAAAGCATAGCTGGAAATAGAATTCCTTTTAATAGCATGGAGACCCCAGAAAGAACAATGCTTTTTTCCCCCCCACTACTGTTGCGCTAGGAAGGATTTTACAAACTGTTAGGTGTAACTTTAAACATTTAAGTTAAATTATGAATTAATAGAGCTGAGAGAAGTACTCATAAACAGAAGTGAGGCAATAATTTTCTTTGACTACAAAAATCAATTGTTATGCATGTTGACCGCTGTTGTTTCTTAGATTCACTGCCAAAATGTAATGAACATCGCGTAGTATGACTTTATTGGTGGGTTTCTGCTTTTTAAGGCGTGGAATACAATATTATAAATGTAATTTATATCCAAATACTCTTAATGCCCATTTCAGAAGACCTAAGAAAAATTATCAATAAACCAAAATACAAAAAAGTAAACACAGGTTAATTTCTTTAAAAAATGGCATGGGCTGTATCTTCCAAAACTTTTGGGACTGATCCAAAATTTCTCAAGTGGAGACTTAAAAAGAAAATTATCCTCAATAGTTTTAAGCTTGATAGAGATTTCTTTAAGGCTCCTCTTTCTAACAGAAGGCATAGTAAAAGTGAGCTTGCTGGCCTAATTGATGAAGTCAACTTCATTTTCAGTGGTATGATGTATGCACTGTTTGTTCTTTTAGCTAATTAAAATTGTATATTAATTGACATCTTAGCATGAGATCTGCAAACTAAAGCTGATGAGCACTTCTATCACTATAAGGATACAAAAGTGATCATCTTGATTTAACTAAAAGATTTCAACATGTCTTTGAAGTAAGTGAGAGAAGAAAATAAAAGATAAGACTTATTGACAGAAGTGGGGAGAATTTGATTGCTGAAAACACCAAACTTCAAGAACCCGATCAAATAGAGGAGCCTAAGGGAATTTATAGCAAAATCCCCATTCAGTTACAATGGAAATTAGGCACCTAGTTCCCTTAGGCTCCTTTGAAAATCCCAGTCTCTGCCAGCCTTAAGATTTGAGTCACACCACCTGAAAAGTTTTGTGAAACCCTGTTTTGAATGGTCTGGGAGGAACAGTGGCTTAATATATTAATTTGTTGTTTGCTCCTCACCTATTCCCTCCATTTCTCACTGCTTTTTGCATTAACTGCTGGACTGCTTCACCGTATTTATAAGGTGAAATCCTGGTCACTTTGAAGTCAGTGGTAAAACTCTCATTGATTTCAGTAGGGCCAGGATTTCACTTTTTCAGTCTTTTGTTAGGTCTGTAGTGATACATTGCTGTTATTAGTGTGGGACACTTAATTATACCAAAAGTGGTGAAAACACTATGCAGATAAGAGGAAAGTGATGCAACATGCAATTTCCCCCCTATTTTAAGCTTTGCCCCTTTTTTTCTCCCATTGGTATTTTAACCTTTGCTTCTGTGTTTTTCTTTTAATAAAAATGGGTATATTTTATGTATGACTAACTCTTCCCTTAAACTTTTAAGCAAATTTTTTATTTTTAAAAGTGGAAATTTCTTTTAATTATTTTTAATGGTTATTTCTAATATTTTCATAAATAACATATGAGACATATTAAAGGCGACCTGCAAAGGGGAAAATTGGGCTTATGTCCTTTTGCTTCTTTCTAATTTATTAAATGGGCTTAAAGTTTTGTCTACCCTGGAAGACTCTCTAATGCTTTGACTGAGTATTAATAAAATGATGATGCTTTAAGAGTTACTTGTGAGCAATTCAGAGGGGAAAGGGTTTTTAGCCAGACTTCAAACATGCAGGATAATTATTTTTTAACTCCTATGTAACTTCAGACACTGACACTTTGGCTAAAAGGTGTTCTTGTTAAAGATCCAACATGTTTATTGTGAGCTGATGCACCTGAACTGTTCTGAGCAAAAGAAGACTTACCATTATTATTACTGTAGTAGTAGTAATAATTACAGGGCACTATTGTGCTATATGCTGCATGAACACACAGTGCCTCGCACAATGGGGTCCTGGTCCATGATTAGGTAAGATTATTGCAGTAATACAAATAATAATAAGACAGTCCCTGTCCCAAAGATATTAAAATATAACTTAAAAAGACAAAGGGTAATTCTAGGGTAGAAAAACAAGCAGAAAACCATAAAAAGTACCCCAAAACCTTTCACACCACATTCATTCATCATAAAGAAGCAAACAAAAGTGCAATCTAACTTTAAAATAATTATTTGCACTTTACCTCTGAAGTACACAGTCTCAGTAAATAATTCTTACAATAAACTAGTATACTGTACTAGTGTGCCAGCTTCTTGAGGAGCGTCACTGGAGAATATCAATTCTGGTATGGTAATCAAAAACTTTAACAAATGCATAAACATGTTCAGCCAAAAATATGGATATATCTGTGTTTATTCAAATAGTTTACTTTGTAAGCCACTCTCTCAAACAAATTTCTCAAAAATATACAGACAGGAGTACTTCAAATTCTCTAACAAATCCAGTGTCTGCTAGCCTTACTCATGTTGAGTAGTAACTTACTGCAAAATTGTGGAATAAGGTACTAATCTTAAGTAAAGATGGCAGAATTTGGTCCTATGTTTTTCTTTGCTTTCTTTCTTGCCATTTCCTTATTTGGAGTTGCAGCTTTTATAGACTTCTTCCAAAACTCATGATTGTATTCCAGGCTGTTATACAGATTGGTCTCTCTGAGGTCCACTAATATCCAGTCCATGTATCAAGACTTTGTTTTCCCCTTTGGTCATCTTCCACCCACAACCATTGCAAGAGCAATCATACCAGTATAGCTCTCAGGTCTCCACTGGATATGCTCAAACCAGCATAGCCTCGTTTTCCTCAACTTATCTTCAATTGGAGCAATCCCTGCATTAGGCCCTTAACAACCTAATTTTGTTTCCCATCATGGACTGTCCTACCATTTGTCCATCTCAACATCTTCATTTCTGTAGTGGAGAGCATACTGAAATCTTTTCTAATGGCTGGCCTAGTCACTGTCCCGTATATTAGAATGGCTCAAATTAGTTTTATACACTGTACCTTTTAACATTATTGGCATCTTCTTGTCACAAGGAACTGGAGTCAGTTCCCTCCATTTGCACCAAAATGCTGGGCATATCGCAGGATGGCACCATTGGCACCAACCATTGATCCCAGGTATTTAAATTCTTTCACTCTTCTAAGCTGTCTGTCTGTGATGTCCTTTATGGTGAGTCCTGCTCCCCCACTTGTCATAGCCTCGATTTTACCAATATTCACTCTAAGTCCAGCCTGCTCAAAACTATGTTGCCACATTCCAAAGTTGGCTTGCAGGGTCTCAAAAACTTCTACATATATCACCAAGTCCTGTATATTTATTACTATATATAAATATGGCCAAGTCAAAGCAAACTTTTCCATTTACTTTGAACTTTGTTGATACTTCATGGCATCTTGCATACTGTTGTTAAACTGTTGTACAGTATAAAAATGGAAAACATCAATAGCAGCTTTTAATCAATCAGTTGTATTCATGTATGATGGTGGGTTTACTGAAGAAGTTATGCCAAAAATCAAATTGTGGTCTGCAAAGCTTGTATTAAACTCATAAACTGTCTCCACACACATGAACACAATATGAATCATTGTGGTGAAGAAAACGTTAAAAATTAGGTTTTTTTCATCGGAATTCTTAATAAAAAACATGTAGAAAATATACTGCTGAAAGCAATTTGAGTTGGCCAGGAAAATAGCCCAAGGTCAAAAAAGACAGACTTCTTTTTTTACATTAATTGTAGACTGCTTTTTGTTTTGACCATGCATGGATTTGTGCAGAGTCCAAAATCTGCAACACATTTTGCTGCCATAAACTAGTTACACACCCATTCTAACTAATTGTTTTATGATGTGGCTGCCACCATTATGAATGGAGTCATTCTCTTCTATAAATCAGGCAGGTGGGTAGCTAATGTGGATGCAGAATTCTTATGTTCAGCTCCTTCTCCAGGGGTGCAGGCAGACTTCCCCAGCTGTTTTTTTGTCTTGCTAGAAGAAACTGTGGCTGGTATATATGTGAAATCCAGTCTTTTTTTCCTGACCTCAGTAGATTTCTGTAACTACATGGAACAAGGCAAGACAAAGGACACTTTTCTCTTTTCTACCCTGCTCCTCCTTTCCTCTTGTCTCCCCCCCCCCCCCCCAAGCCAGGAAAGAAGGGTTGAAAATGCTTCGGGCAGGGGATCCATTGTGCCCTCGCCCTCCCCTGGGGGGGAGGGGTAGCTCAGTGGTTTGAGAATTGGCCTGCTAAACCCAGGGTTGTGAGTTCAATCCTTGAGGGGGCCATTTAGAGATCTGGGGCAAAATCAGTACTTGGTCCCTTCCAGTTCTATGAGATAGGTATATCTCCATATATTATATTATTATTACACACGTACACACACTCCACCCACCATGGCTTCATACAACTGCTGTAGCTCGGTCTGAATGATTGGTGGGGGAGGAAACCAGTTGTGAATAGGGTGACTATTCTGTGCTTCAGCAACCTCTCAAAGCACTTCCTCACTGTGAATGTACTCAACAATGTGGCTCAAGATTCCATCCTGTTAGGGGGCAATATCTTGGCTACTTGCAGCCTAGCTTGAAGGTCTTAGTCTGTTCTAGGGTGTAGATAGCTCCTCCAATCTTTCTCTTTACTCTCCCTTTATGTTCAGAGGCATACTGGGGACTTAATCTTGAGAAGGTCTTGGAGAAAAAAAACTACCTCCCCACTCTGGCTTTGTACAGGAGATGCATGTTTTACTTTATTCCTCATCCATCTTTTTCATGAGGCAATCTTTAGTGAAAGTACAGACCAAGAACAAACTTCAGCTTTGCTTTTGCAGGCAGGGATTTAAATCCAAAGCTTCTTACAGCCAGAGAAAAACTAAAGGTAACCAACTCTAACCACTCTTCTCTCCTTAGCATGTTCAGCACTGGGGAGGCATTTTACTGTTGCTTCATATCTGGAGCAGGATTACTTCAGACTTTGGGTGCCCATCTTTTTGATTAAGCATTTTTACTATATTCAGAACAATCACTACAACTATTGCTCCCACTTTAAAACAAAAACAAAAAAATATATCTTTCCTGCTACAAAAAAAAAAAAAAAACCACAAGCAGATCTTCCTGTAATGAGAAAGGGGAGAAGAGCTGAAGATTCCTTAAATTGGTTAGGGACCTTGCTATTAGCATATCTCATATTAATTATGCCTTTTTTTTTCTTACTGCCCATCACTGTATTAAGATATCCTTAATGTTTGGGAAAGCGAGGACAGTTCCCAGTGGGGTCTTCCATAACAGGTTACCTAAGGCACTTTCTTATTTATGCCTCACTGCTAAGTCTGTTACCCTTGGAGGCAAAACCTTGTGCTAAATGCCCGCTGTCCAAGCCCATTTGAATACATGCTTATCATCCCACTCTTCTTTTTGTGTAAAATGGCTTTTCTCATGGCCATCTATGTGGGCACCTGGTCACAGAACTAGAAGTGGAGATCTGGGGAGGCTCTAAATTCAGAAACTCCACTTTCTGATAAATCTAGTTTCTCTAAGAAGCTGGTAAATGCTAATTGTTCTCAGTTTGACTTTTCGGTTGTATATAAAAAACCTTTAGAATAACTTTACAAAGTAAAATTAATCCTTTATTAATTAGCTGAAGTATTTAAGAATGGATATTATTAAATAGTAAAATACTTAACATAATTTCTGCTGTATTCATTATGCTTTGCATTATAGCAAAGTTATAGTTAACTGGATGATAATCTGCTTAATTTCCCATGCCAGAATCAAATTTTTGTTTAAGCAGGGGTATGGAGTAATACCGTCCTCTTTAAATTTGGTCATGGAATGTGGATGACATAGACGTGCACAGGGAAATGCTTGCTGAATTTGGACTTGGATAGTAACGTTTATTTTGTTTGGCAGACAAGTTCATAGACGAAGGACATCTAACCAAAGTGGAAGAAACAAAGCTTTTGAGAGGTTAGATTTCTGATTTATATAACTCTTTTTGAAACATGTTTTATTAGTAGGTGTGTTTAAAATAAAAGTTTCTGATTTAAACCAATAACTTAGTAATTTTTTTGTTAAATATAAGGTAATTTTTTAACAAGTCCACAAAGAGAGTAAATATAGTTGGTGTCCATTGATACATCACTATATAACTATTTTATGGGGGAAATCATAAGGAAACTATTTTGAGGGATGAGGGCGTGTGGAGGACTGGTCTTCACTGACTTCTCACCTGTGTATTTCTCATCCAAAGGTTTTTTAAAAAGGAATTTTTTGCAAGCTTGTTTAAAATCTCTCACTACTAAATAAATTTCAGACTGAGTTTTTTTCACTGAGCAGAACCAGAACCAGAAAATATTAGTTAGTCTTAGTTAACAGCTAAGAGGAAAAAGGTGTGGGGTTTTTGTAAATAATCTAGAAATAGCCAAACAGTGTTAAAATGAACCCTAATCTTATAAACCTGCTTTTTTAAAGATAAAACATAAATGTGCGACCCTTTAAAGTTTGTCACTTTCTTGTTTCATGATCTTTTTATAAGGAAAACTAAAATACAAATATTTATTTATGGGCAACTTAAGTTCCTTAATATTAATGAGCTCATGTTGCAGAGCCAAAATCAGGAATGCTACAGATGTTAGTAATTTATGATAGTCCCCCACATGGAGCACAATATTAACATTTTAATATTTTGTTTGTTCAGTGGATATAGTGGTAAAGTGCTGACATTTAACAATTTTTTCATCCTTTCCATGAATGTTTCTTAATATATCAGAGTATTGATTTCTGCCCATCTATCAGCATAGATAGTGTTACATTTAAACATATTTTGGTCATTCCGGATTCCAGCTTTGTTTTTAGAATTACTTCATCTTCTCTGTGCAACTCCATTTTAGCTTGTTACCAAGCTTGTATAAACTCCAGACAACATGCCATGTTTGGCAAAAGAATGCATACAATAAGCCTAACTGTAATTTAACACTTACATGCCAGTATTATCTTGCAAAATGATGAGCTATTTTTAGTGTTTATTAATACTGTAATAAGTATGGTGTCAACAAATTTTAAAATAGATTTTATTTTATCTCATGCATTAAAGTAACTCACTTTCACTATTGAAAGTGTGAAAAGATTGAAATGAAAGAAAAATCCCAGGAAAGAGCTTTGTGTTACCAAATTGTGGTATATAAAAATTAGTCAAATTTTTCATTAAAGTGCAATACCTGCAGATTTTGAAAAAGTGAGCTTAGTATTCATGAAAGTAGGAGACTACACTAAATAGTTGTATAGTTAGCTACTGGCCAGATTTTGATTGCAGTTACATTGGGGTAAACGCTGAGTAACTGAGATCAGAATAGGACTACTGAATTAATTTCTGTCCTTAAGTCTGCCACTGCTCCTCCTGAAAATACCCCTATTATTTTTAATATTTGTTTGGCTTCTTAACCAAGGATGACCAAAAAACTACCTGAACATTGTGGCATTAGACACAGGCAAATATCCATAAGAAAGTAGGATGAGGCTACCAAAGTCATTTGTACTTGATGAATTCTGGTTTCCAGAATAGAAACCTAGTTCCTCACCCTACCAAGCTACTTGGGGCTTGCCACACAGTAACTCATCATGTAACTCAGTAATTTGCTGCGTGGACGTGCAGTGAAAGTCCTGGAGCAGTTGAGCATTCTGTGTTTTCAAGCTGCAGTATGCTAATTCACACTCCAGGACTTTCACTGAGTTACTGAGCAGCAATCTGGTGTGTGGTAGATTCACATCCTGGCTCGTTGCGCAATAATTCACCATCTAGGCAAGTCACTTTGACTTCTGCCATTTCAGATGCAGAGCCTGCGCATGGTGTCTCCTAAGATCCAGTAAAGTTTAACCCTGATTATGGATCCTGTGTGTGTGTGATGGAATCCAGGGTCTAGAACTTGTACCTTTTATCCTATTTTGCATAGAGCAAATATTAACACTTCCTTATATGCATATATATGGAAATGGAGTTACCTGATGTAAAACTTGCATATCTTAACATTTCTGGAATAGCCACTGACATAAACAACATGGGAGAAACTTTTAGAGCCTAAATTTGACAGTGCTTGTCTAGCCACCTAGGTTTTAAAGCAAATATGTTATTTTGGTTAATGCTTGTCAGAGCTCCAAAGGCAATTTTATGGACTTGATTATAATTATTTGGTAGTTACTATGTGCCATAAAGTACCATAAAGTGCTTTAAAAACATTACTGAATGAAACCTTTTATCCCTGTAAGACAGGGAAGTACTTCTCTCACTTTACAGACAGGGAAAGTTAGATGCTGAGGTTAAGCAACTTGTCCATGGTAAGTGTGAAGCAGAGCAAGGAAATAGCTGCCAGAACTCATGAACCATTAGTCTTAGGGGAAGGCATATGTTGATGGCTACCACCTTCTTTCTTGACTAACATCTGTTAACAAAAATGAGGTACCTTGTTTGCAGTTTACCTTCTGTTGTGACTCACACATCTGGATGTTCCTCTGACATAATGACCTGGTACAATCTTTTTATCCTTGTCCTGTAAGAAAGGGAAAAGTGTATTCTGTTAACCTATCTGTGTCTTACCCTTTGACCGCTTGTCTGTTTCCCAGAACAAGGGCATTAGTTTCTGTTGAATTTGTTTTTGCTTTTCAGTTCCACGGAGTCATTGTCTGACAAGAAATAGCAAGTTCACAATGTCTGATAACTTTCTTTTACATAATTTGATATGCCAATTCTGATAGGTTTCCCATGTACTTATTTATCTATAACTGCATGTCCTTTCTTCCCTCTTCTGCCAGATGCTTTTATTTTTTATTTATTTATTTATTTATTTATCGGCATGTACATTAAACATCAGCAGGTGAAGACAGGATTTGTGATGACAGTGCTTCATGCTGATATGGAAGGAAAGACTCTATACTGGGAGCATTATAATAGCTATCTATCTAAATCCCCCATTACCTGGCACTTGTGCCCAAGGAGAAGGGTCCACCAATTTGTGGGTAGACAACAGTGCTATCTGAACAAGCCAGAGTGCAATGAGCCAAGAATACTTTATTATATGTGTCCTCAAGCCTTGATGATGAGGGCATGATTCATATTCTTGTCTTTTGGTTCATTGTGTCTGTGTGCATCCATCTGAGCTAAATTGAAGTTCAGAAATAAAATTAAGCTATTACAGGCACATAAAGTGAGTCTTTGGCCTTGTTGAGTCAAGCGGACTGTTGCATGGGAAAAGGATGAATTAGTATAATGAAGTCCACTTCCCTTCCCATTTTTTCTCTTTGTGAGGCCTCTAGACCTAGCCAAAAAACTGCTTTCAGGGTTCCACTAAACTTCACGTAACTATCTAGTGGACAGAATATAGAAGGCTGATGATCCATAAGCCCTTTCAGAGGTGCTTTTGTGCAAGCATGTAGACCATTTCCTATTAACATAACCTAAACTTAAAACTATTTTTAAAAAACTAGTTAAAATACTGATGATTTGCATTACTAAGATTAATCTTTATTCATAGTTCATTTCAAATTTATATTACAACACAATGTACCTAGGCATCTATTGCTGTTGTTTTACTTATTCAAAACACTGCAAAATCAAGTTTTGTCCTCAGCAGCATTTTCTTTCCATCATGATACAATATCTGTATTGTTCTGGAAATGTTGCTGCTGTTTTTTCTGATTTGTTCCCGGAAAGACTGAACAAAACAACCAGCTTTTACACTGGGTTCCAACTGGCAAGAGTACAGCTTTAAACAAAAGCCGAAGCTATCTATGAGGCAGTTACCATCTCATGTTAGACTGTAACATTAAATATTTGATCCTACGGCCATTTAATTCATTTTGGAGTGGGATTTTAAAGACTCAAGAAAAGCACTGGCTTTTATTAAAGCACAAGTGTAACAGTTCTCTTCAGTTCTGCACTTTAAGCAGCATCTAGCAGTAGATCTAGAATTTATACGAAGGGGGGAGGAAAAGCCATAGGAAACACACACACATTTTAATTGAGGTTCTCCTTGTCTCTTACAGAAAACCAAGCAAGAGCAAAAGAATCTGATTTGTCAGATACTCTTAGTCCAAGCAAGGAGAAAAGCAGTGACGACACTACAGGTAAATTTGGGTGTAAATTTCTGCAAAATGGCTTTGGTGTTCGTAAGTATGTTAAGGTTTGCTATTAGAATCTAGAACATAAGCTACATTTCATATTTAGCTCAGCCAAATAAAGTGTAATTAAAGAACAACATGAGATATAGTATTTTGCTACCTTGTAACCAGGTTGGGGATGGGGGAGAGTGAGGACAGTAAAGATTTCTCTGATCTGTTTGTAGAATCTGTTTGTAGAACTTGACTCTAGTCTACCCACTGTTTTAAAGCAATTTAACTTTTTTGTTTTAGATGCCCAAATGGATGAACAAGAGCTAAATGAACCTATTGCTAAAGTATCTCTTTTAAAAGGTAAACAAATGTACATATTTTTTAACTTTAAGATGTAGTGTGACAGATCCAAATTCTGAATAATACATGCGTGTTTTATTCTAGGACTCTGTATTTCTGTCAGATGAATATTTGTAGCTAAGTGAGAAGTGCTCAAGTTTAAATATTTAAATTACTTTATTAAGGAAGTATGTTTGAAAAGAAATCGTGATTCATTCATCTGAAATTAAATAATGTAGCCAAGTGTTAGTGTAGAGATAAGTGACAATTTAAAATTAGAGTACTCTTTTTTTCCCCAGTTCACACCAGTGCTGCTAAAATAAATCTTCATGTGTAACTTAAAGCACAAGTCAAGAAAATAATAGTTTCTCTTCATGTTCTGTTTCTCGGTTGTTAATCAGTCTCTCTCTTCTGGTCATTGTTACCCAATAATGCTTAAAATGGCTGCTATCTGTGTAAATTGTTTCCATCAGTGATGAAAAAGACTCCTTAGTTTGTAATTTGGTATTATTTATATTTAAAGAACTGTTAAATCTTCAATTATGAATGTATTTATGGTTTATCATAGATGGTATGTTAGATTTTTCAGGTTTTGCTAAACAAAACAGCCTATGTTGGATATATTAGCTTTGGACATTGAAATTAGAAAATCAGATTCTTCTGTAGGAGACCTTCATACTGCAGTCAGACCTAAAAATGTATCTACTGTTTAACTGGAAACTTGCCATGTTCAGCAAATTAATTTTTTCAAATTGATCACATGAAAAATAGATTAAATACAAGTGATAAAATATTAATATACCATTATATTTAGCATGTTGAAAGGTAAACTTTTGCTTCACTTCTGTAATTATTGACTTTTTTCTTTTATGGTCAGCAGTGACACAGTTCTTATGTTGGGTTACAAATGAAAGGAACACTACTAACTTTTTGTTTGCTCAAAAAACTTGGAAACCATACAGAAACCTGAAAGGCTAACGTAAGATCACTTCCTCGGTTGTATATATTTTCCCAAATTTTTACTGGAAAAGATGAGATTTTTATATCTGAAGTACTTCAGAGCAATTACAAAATGTTCAGTGATATAGCTAACCAACAAAAATACATGGAGTATAGCTTATTTTGGCAGATTAGAGTCTGGTGAAACAGTTTAAGAATTCAAGTGTTTGAAAAGTCGAGGACATATCAATAAGTTTGGTTTGGTAACTGTAATTAATGCCATTAATGGGAACGTAGATGTATGCACTGACTTAATCTGCCAATAGATAAAGTTTAATACTGTCATGTTCCATAAGTTAACATAATTAATTTAATATTTTTAGTAGTAAATTTCAATATGTGGAATGTGTTGCCTCTTTCAAAGAAAAGCTATATGAATATTACTGGTTGTGAATTTTATCATAATATGTTGTTGAAGTAGACAAACCTTGAAGTACAAAATATGTGTGTATACTTCAGAATGTGTGTTTGTCTGCAGTTCTTCTTATGCAGGACAGAAAGCCAAGAAATAATTTGCAATATGTCATGTAGTACAATAGCAAATCCCTGTTCACCCACATTTCAAATTTATTTATTTATTTATTTCAACCAGGAACTGATTTCTAATGTTGCCATATAATTCATTAATCCCTCTGTATTTAATTTATTAAATTTTGTCTTAAGGTTGAAATATTATAATTCAACTATGTAAATGAGTTCAAGGATGAAATTTGTAAAACAGGGTATCAGACTACGAAAGAATTCACTTATTTAAAAATCAGTTTGTCTGCCTTGTAAGATATGTATGCTGTACTGTAGGCAAAAAATACCTTATTACAGAAGTATTACTTTTACCATTCTAAAACAGTTTATTTTTTTAAGAGCAATTCTGGAAGTCAACATGATTTTAATCATGTTTTTGGTGGGGAAAAAAAGTAATGGTGGAAAAGAGCTGACAGACCATCTAGTTCCCTTTCCTATAATATGCAAGTGGGTTCCTATTGATTTATTCATGAATGCTTTAGCTACCCTATATCTGCTTATGTCATGTGAGAAGAGAAGATTTTGGCCAATCAGGTCCCAGCAAAATCAAACATTAGTTTTCTCAAACAGCACTAAAACTAGAGATCCCAAATCAGTCACATTACTTTACGTAAGCCACTCCTTCAAGCAGGTATAATTATTCACACCTGTGAATTATTTATATGTGCTACAACCTTTCCACAATTGAAAATCCAAGTAGTCATCAGTACTGAACTTCCAAATTATTTCCAGCAGGAAAGTAATTTCGTTTTTTACATTTTAGTATTTTGTTTTGCCATACAAGAGAAATAATACTGCTGTTGAATTACACATTCAATAAATTACTTTAGAAGTTGACCAACCTCATTCATTTGCATGCTGAAATTGTTTATTGCTCCTTACAGTCCATTATTATGAAATATCTTTTAAAGATCTTCAGCAATAAATCATTAACTTCTATTGCAATAATTTCACACACAGCCTGTAAGCCAGCAATTTTATTCAACAAACTTTACAGAATGCTGCATTAGGCATCTCGCTTCCCTCCCTACTAAAGAGGGTCTTACTTGTTAGAGTAGGACTCAGTTGGCTTAGCTATGCATTAGTAGAGCCATGGGAAGACAAACGTCTTTCTGAACTAGAAGCTGTTCCTGGGGCTTCTAGGGAAATGCAGAAGTGTCAGATGGAAAACTAGTGTTTCAGTTTGTTCAATTATTTACTGGAATGTAGAAAGCAACTTAGGAAGTTACTGTAATTCATGGAACAAGACGATGGTGATACGTTTCATTTTGCTTCTGTTTCTTCCATGTGTGTTTTCTATCATTAAACTTCAAATTTATTAACACTGTTTCTACTTTATACAAGCCGAAGTGTGGGGAAAAAAAATCCATAATACTTTGTGCATTTGCCAGACTTTGTTTTGTTGATGAGGTAATGTATTTATCAGCCACTAATAAAGGTTTCTTGAAATTTGCCTTTTAAAGACAGGCTAAGTCTCTCAGTAGCTGATAATTACAAAGAAAAGTTGAAGAATTAAAAATAGGTGTCTGTGTCCAACAAATACAGCACCAGGAAACAATCAAGGCAGCTAGCACTGATAGTGCTTATCATCAACTTCCTAATGTTTCTTTAGATTACAAATGATGCATTCAGTTGTTACTTAATACAGTTTGCATACTCAGTGTTTCAGGAATTTGACAAAAACTTACGTGTTTAATCTAATTTATTTGATTTCTGTAGAACAATGTTTTTCCCCAAAGGGAGGCTCACTATTGGATAGGGTTCTTCAAGAGCCCTGGAAGTGAGCTAGGTGCCTCAAATATGAGAGCTGTGCAAATGTCTTACTTCATGAAATTGCTTCCACAGATTCTGACTCTTATGGATGCACATGGATATGGGACAACTAAAAGGCAGAGCCTAGCCAGGATTCTTTGTTTATATATGTACAGTAAGACCACTTCTGTAAAGACAACCATATAGTTCTCTTGGTGCCTTTTTTTTCCTGCCTGCCCTCAGATTTGGAAGTGTTGGTCTGATCTGGGTTTTATTTTTCCTGTACTGATCTTCTAGGGCCTTAAAATTTATTTGATGGCAGATTCTGACATTAGAAAGATAATTTCAGTTGTGTGGAAAATGTTTCTAGAAGTTGTCCCTCACAGACCATCATAGGATATGCCTCACATGTTTGTGACATGGCTCACGGCCTTAAGAAGAATATCCATGTTCAGACTTCTTGCTTTGAACCAGATTGGTGGGGGAACAAATTATACTAACTTTTACACAGCAGTTCTAACACTATCCATGGAGACAAAAATAGAAGTCGACCTTGATATTTAAGGAAGTGATTAACTTATTCTTTCAGTGCACTGATGCTTTGATGTGAGGCACAAGTTTTAAGGGTTGGCAGATATATTGGAGCCAGCACTAACTTCTGTGCCCCTGGCGTTCTGATTATCTTAGGCCTTGGCTACACTGGCAATTCACAGCGCTGCACTTGCTGCGCTCAGGGGTGTGAAAAAACAGCCCCCCTGAGCGCAGCGAGTGCAGCGCTGTAAAGCGCCAGTGTAATCAGCGCCTGCAGCGCTGCACGCTCGCTCGCAGCACTGCAAGCTATTCCCCTCGGAGAGGTGAAGTACTTGCAGCACTGCGAGAGAGCTCTCGCAGCACTGCGAGAGAGCTCTCGCAGCACTGCGAGAGAGCTCTCGCAGCACTGGCGGCGCGACTACACTTGCGCTTCACAGCGCTGCCGAGGCAGTGCTGTGAATCCGCGAGTGTAGCCAAGGCCTTAGATACAGATAATCTCAGGCACTTGTCTTGAAGCTATTTTGAATGTTGCGCTTTGCATTCTTTCCCTATCACACTTCACTTTGTATCAGTGTCTGCTTTTGGGAGGAGGGTTTGTCCTATTTTTATATTTGCCTTATTAATTCTGTTATAGGTCACAACTATTTGTGAGATCAAGAAATATTGTTTTGAAGAAGAAACTTAAGTCTAGATAAATATTCTAAAATATTTTGTTTTTACTTTCACTTTCTTCCCACTTGAAAGATTAACTCTTAAAGATTGAAGTAGTTTACCGCTAAACAGTATTTGAAGACTGTTTATAACTCTCTTCAGTTGCATCTGAAGAAGTGAGGTTCTTACCCACGAAAGCTTATGCTCCCAATACTTCTGTTAGTCTTAAAGTTGCCACAGGACCCTCTGTTGCTTATAACTCTCATATCACTGATAAGTTTACATGAATTCCTTCTGCAAATCTTTGTGTGGCAATTAAAGGGAAAATTGTACAATATTTATTTTGGGATACTCTAGTCCCGTTTAGACTTTAGAAAATATCTTGTGCTATTCTAGATGTGGAAATATACATTCCACAAATTTTAATGGAAACCCTTAATTAAAGCTAGAATGGCCAAAACATTAAGCCCAGTCATATTAGAATTGCATGCAAAATTGCAACAAGCAAGGGAAAGAGCAAGTAGACTGTGTGTTCCAATTCTGATTAAGGTTGTTCTGAAGAACAATTTGCAAAATTATACATTTACAAACTAACTGCCACACAGTTCAGTAATCTTTGATTACTATGTAGAGCTGGTTGATAACTTTTTGATAAAATTTTCTTTGTTGGAAAATATTGATTCATAAAAATTGGAACTGTTTGAGACGTACTGGGCTCAAGGAAACTATGTCACGAGAGGTTTCTCAGGTTCTGGATGGAATTTCTGGTCAAAATAAGAGCAACTGGCCCCTGAAGAGCCTGGAAACTAGGGCAGTCATTTGGAATGTGGGAGAGTCAGGCTCAAGTCCTGTTCTACCTGATTTGGAGCAGGTACTTGAACCCAGGTGTCCCAGGTTCCAGGTGAGTGCCCCTAGTCACTGGGCTGTAGGGTCAATTTCTCTCTCTCTCTGACCCAATTAATATTTATTTATACAAAGTGGAACAGCTCAAACAGGAAAGAGATCTGAGTTCAAGCCTCTGCTCAGGATCAATCTCTCCTGTTTGAGTTGTTCCATTTTGTATAAATAAATATCCGTTTGGTCCGAGGAGGATGGGGGAGAGGGGAAAAAAAACAAAAGTATGGCTATTGCCTTCTCCCACTCTGTGGGCCTGTCTGATAACTTGAATAGTTTTCCAGCTCCTAAGGAACAGTGTTACTGTTAAATGGAATCTACAATTGATGGGAGAGAAGCTGTCCACCAGAGATCTTAGAGTAGAAATCTCAGCTATCTATCGGTGGGGCACTACTTCTTTACCATACCTGACTTGAACACAACTTGTTTCCAGTACATGAATGAAAAGGTTGACAATCTAGGCGGGACAAAATGTCCAACTACACAAGCATTTATCTCTGGGAGACTGAGAACGATGCCTCTGTAATAAAGAAAAACTGTGGTTAGAAACTCCGGTTGACCATAGAAGAAAATATTTTGTTCAATTTTTCCTCAGTTTTCAGTTTTCCTATTTTGTCCTTTTTTATAATCCCAGTATGTAAAAATCTAAACGCTAGAATTGTGTTTTTTAAAGAAGCTGGCATCATTACTTTCCCATCCACAAGGCGATTGCTGTGGAAATTAATTGTAGGACTTAATTTTTATACCCTTGTAATGATCAAAAAGCTATTCTGTTACATTTCTCATCTCTGCTAGAGATGTTGTAATGGACACCTTTCCTATATTTTGAGGATATAATAAGACACAAACTTGTGGACACACGCAACATGAAATATATATTAATATTCAGTTTGACAAAAATCCAATTTGTTATATTTTAGGGGAGACACCTGGAACAGTGGTCAGCCACAAAGAAAGATCCATGTTCAGGATGTTAACTACCACAGCATGGAAATGTATAACGCTACTTTGGCGTTCAAGGGGAAAATCCATTAATATGTGCTTAAAGAAATTGCAAGAGGTCCAAGACATGGAGTTTATTACTGCACGAATAAGACAAGCACAAGATATTTTTCTGGAGAGATGTGATATGATAAGTACTTTGTGGTGATATGGTGAAATAACTAGCTTATTTAAGAAAAATAATTGAGACAAGGAACTAACTAGAACAGTTATTTCCTTGATCTAATATAAAGCTAAATAAATAAACAAACAAGTATAAACAATATATAGCAAAAGTAAAACTTAATAATGAACAATCATTAGTAGTTTGTCTGGACTCTCCAGCAAAAGTATCTCTGGGTCTTGACTAGGGTTTTTCTTTTGCACAATATAAATTAATTTTAGTTCTGTATGGATTTTGGGATTGTCAGTTTATTAACCATAAGCTATGTAATACATGCTTCTTTTGTTTCTCATGTCTGATAGCTGGACTGTCATGTTCTCCCTATTTTTCTGCAACCAGACAATTGACTTGAATTCCTTGAAGTTTCTACCTTCCATTGATGTAATATATGTAGTCTGTTTCCCTATAAGGGCCTGATTCTATAAACCCTTACGTGAATAACACTTACATGAGAAATGTTAAATACATAAGAGTTTCAAGGATCACATCATAAGATTGAAAATTCCTTGGAGCTAGAACTGTTTCTTTCTCCTTTAGTCTGCCAAGTCATACTACTGGTACTCAGTTATTAATAGACAATGGGAATGATATGCTGTTATTAGTTAAGGTTTTTAAACATTATATTATGTTTCTCCTTTCTGCTATTTGAGTATTCAATAAATTTAAGTTGAAAAAGTATTTTGTATTTATTTCAGACAAATATGAATATTTCCAGTCCATTGGCACAGATGATTTCTTTTTATTCCCTGAGGTCTTTTGTTTGTGCAATGTTATAAATAATACAAAAACTTTGAGATGGGGAAGAACAGATTTGAAAAGTTTTATGTATTGTAATTCATATACTTACCATTATTTGAGCTAAAAATACATCCTTAGCCATGATTTGAGATTAAAGGAACTTTTAATATTTTCAGAGTAATATCACAGTGAAGCTAGGGTTTTTTTAGGCCCAACAAAGTCAAGCCAAGTTTTGGCCTAACATCTGCTTTTCATGTTGACTTCAAATGGCTTGCTCAGCGCTTCTGTAAAATCAGGGTGCTTTCATGTAGGTGCCTACCTTTAGACACCCAAGTTCAAAAATGTTAGCTCAGGTATGGCATTATAAATAATGTTGTGTTTTATATAGTTTTATCATTGCTGAAATGACATACTGAATTCTTTTTGCTAGCAACTTGTGAAGTTGACTTTCAAAGAAACAGTGTACATTCTTTATACTTTACATGCACAAAAAGAACATTTATAATGAAATATCAACAACATTAAGGCTTCATGAATGTAATCCTGAGATATGCCAATTCTATGCAATATTTAAAAAAAAAAGTTTAAATTCACTAAGTGTTATGTAAACTGGGATTCCTTGTTTATGTTATGTTTTTTTGCATGTTGGATTTAACTATGATTGTTTTACTTTCATTTCCCTCAAGATTAAAACAAACTGCTAAATAAATTAATGTGGTTTTTTTTGTTTGTTTGTTTTGTTTTCTAACTTCTATCTAACCCAGTGGTAACTATTGTGGCTAATGTTGCATGATTGAAGCCAAAAACATTGACTGTCTTTATGTGGCAGTACAAATAAAGTTGCTATGAAAACTTCTGCTTTAAAATAAAAATGTTCTTTTATCAGATGAATTGCAGGGTGCACAATCAGAAACAGAGACTAAACAAGAAATTCAGCAGCTGCACAAGGAACTGATTGAAGCCCAAGAGCTAGCTAGAACAAGTAAACAAAAATGCTTTGAACTTCAAGGTGAGACAGAGATAAACAAAATTTGAATGACTGTCCTGCAGAATCAAATTTAAGTGCAAATCCGAGTAATTGTCCTTAAGTAAATATATCAGTTAATCTTAAAAGGGGATGCTTAAACCAATTTTGTCTAATACAGTAAATATTTTGTTTTACTGCCCATATGTAGAAAAAGGCAGGTGTCTCTAGCTTATAAGTAATCTTTTATACAAAACCCAAATTTTGGGCCTAAATTGACATGACAGTCTCCTTTGAGCAGTACCACACCTTTAAGTGAGTTAATGAAATGCAAAATTTATTTATCTGTGTGTATTCATTGATTCATCTATTTTAAGTGGATAATAAAGGTAGTTAAATGAGTTCAGTGATAGCTAGATCATTTTTTAGACTCCCCATCCATACTTCCTGTTATAATCGTATCAGTGCAAATAACAAAAGTGTTGGTTTGCTTTTGCAGAAAACTATGTAATGTAGCTCAAACTCATTGTAATAAACATTCTTTTAGGAAATCTCTACAAATTTCTTTCTATATGCTTCCCCCGACACACAATACAGTTGCATTTCCAAGACAAAATGACTGGCAATATTAATTGTTTACAACTTAAATTAATTATACTACTACCAAAAATCATTTAAAAGTATTAACTTTTTATTAAACTACTTACATGTGTATTAGCTTTGATGATTTGTGAAATAATCTGATTATCTTAATCTTTCAAACTCAATTTTTGGGAAAATAATTTGACTTTGAGATTAACTGTTAAACTATACAGCTGAACATTTTTTTAAATTTTTTAACTAATTACAACTTCAGGCACATTTCTACTTTCATTTATAGCACTACTGGAAGAAGAGAGAAAAGCATACCGGCTGCAGGTTGAGGAGTCCACCAAGCAAATACAGTTTCTGCAAGGTATGAAATAATTGATTTTTCTCTTCATTCTTTATACCTCAGGCATAAAAGAAAATACTTGAGTCACTTTTGGTGGCATTGGGTAACTTTTTATAAAAGGAAATAATTATCTATGAATCTTAGTCTAATTTCTCTTGTTGAGAGTTGAACTGTGTCAATTTATGCTTCTCAGTGATTCATACACTTCTGATTCATTGTATTTTCTAGGTTTTAGCAGGAAATAATCTCTAGTGTACATTTTTTCTCTCTCCCTTTCACCTTTAGATTCTCCAAAAAGGCCTGCTGGAGAATCTTACATTGTCTTTTGACAGGCATTCTGAACTTGACAGGCATGCTCAATTCTTAGTGATTTAGGTTTTATGCCCTGGTCAGCTTCTTTCCTTATTGGTAAAACTTCCCTAAATAAGTTCTTCTGTCCATTCCAAAGTAACTTCCAAATTCAGAATCTGAAACAATAAAAATGTTAGTGGAACCACTACCTATACTTTTATGAAGGAATGGCATTGCTAGCTGTTTCCACCTGAGGTAAATAAGCAAACCATGAGTTTTCCAGCCCAAAACAGATAAAGCAAAATGGAATCCAATGCTTACATCACTCTTGCATTCACACTTGTGGATCTGGAAGCAACCATCACCAAACTAAGGAAGAACAACTTCTATGAGAAGAAAAATAGCTACAGCAAATGAGTTTACAGGTGATAATTTCAGTAATATACCACTCACACTGAAAAGTGTATAGAGTCCTGCATATGCCTTCCAGCAAAAATATGTAGTCCTTTCCCAGGATAATGTCCTCCTGCAGAAAAATCTGAGGCATAATCTGATTTAAGCTGGCTGCTCTGTTAACAACCTAGCCGAAAACTGTCTCCAACCAAACAAAGCAGTAGCAAAAGTGGGAAATCTGATTCTGGAGGAGGAGAAATCTCAACAAGGATCCCTCAAATTGTTTCTTTACTATTATTTTGTAGAGTGGGGAAGGTTTGCCACTGGCAAAAAATAAGCCACAGAGCCTGTCCACAAACCTGGCAGACCCACACTGAGGCCCTGTGTCTCTGCTCTAACTCTTTTCTTCTGCTATCTCCCTAGCTCCTTGCCGGTTATGCTTTACAGTGAACTCCTGGAAGATGTTCTAGTATATTTTCTAGGAGATCTGTATGGGGTTAGGAGAGTGGACAGTGGTCAGACTCATCACACCTCTGGCCCACCACTCTTCCTTGACCTGCATCTGTGATGTCCAGAGAAGAGTGGGGGGTGGGAAGGGGTAGTGCCCCAGAAGCAGCTGAATCCCTACCTCCACAAGAGTAGTTCTCCCTCCATCCATGGATAGGAAGAGTAGGGAGACTGTAAGGGCCCATGTAATTAGTCACTGTACAATTAAAGGGTTCAGATCAGATGAGGTAATTGCAGACCAGGGACTTGAACCTGGATCTCATAGGTGAGTACCCTAGCCACTGGGATATTGGCTATTCTGGTGTTGGACAGGGGGTATTTCTGACTCATTCTTACTTAGACCAGAAAATCCATCCTGGACCGGAGAAACCATTCCCATCCAAAATTTAATCCCAACTATGAAGTTAAATCTGGAACTGAGGTGCTAGAGGTGTTATTATTAATCTACTTAGAATATAGTGCTAACAGAGATAAATCACCACTTGTACTTTTTTAAGAGTATAATATTTGCGAATGTAACTATTTGAATCACGTTTTTATTTTTTAATTCCATTGAGCTTCAGTTGGTTAAGGAAGGAGTTTTTTCCCTCTAGGCTTTCTTCAAATGTAATAAATATAGCTTAGAAAAAATCTATACTGTACATGTACACATTCCTTTCTAGCCCAGCTGCATAGGTTGCAGGAAGATATTGAGAATCTTCGTGAGGAAAAGGAGAATGAAATTTCAAGCACTCGAGATGAATTGCTAAGTGCTCAAGATGAGATTCTGCTACTTCAACAAGGGGCAGAAAAAGCTGCATCAGAACGAGACACTGATATTGCTGCTTTGCAAGAAGAGCTGCAGGAGGTGCGGGCTGAACTTGAACGCTGGCGGAAAGAAGCCTCAGAATACGAAAAAGAAATTGGCAATCTTCAAGCCAGTTTCCAGCTGCGATGTCAGCAGTGTGAGGATCAGCAGAGAGAGGAAGCTACTCGTTTACAAGGTAAGAAAGTCACGGCTCATCCTGATGGGAACTGTCACAATCACTTTGAGATGTCTGAATGGTAGATATTTAGAATTAAATTACTCAGGCCAATATTATTCTGTATTTTCTTTACTATCAAAATCCATAGTGTAAACAAACAAATCTGAAATTTAACTAGAAACTTTGCATGAATACACTACAGAATAATTCTACACTGCTTTCTGTCACTTAAATAGCACTTTAAATTTTGTCTAATTATTCCTATAAGATATTAGTTATAAACTTAGCTATGCTTTTCATTGAAATAAGAGGATAGTGGCACTAGCTGAAAAGCATGGCAAACGCCACATATTATAGGAATATACATTACCACAGGAGTTGCAAAGTACTCAGCAAACCTCTGTAGCTGTAATCTTCTAGACATTTGGCTAAGAGGCCTGGAGGACCCACTGGCTTCCAGTTCACTTCTGCTGCCAGTTCAAGGAATCGATCATTTCAGTGCAGTCTATCAAGACTATTGCATTCATATTCGGCAATACAGTTGCAAACCATGATCATGTGAGAGCAGGCAACAAGGCGTTTCTCAGAGGAGGGAATCCAGCTAGGGAACAAATTCCCAGGAGAGAGAAAACTAATCTGGAGTCTGGCACCTTTAGGGCATACTTCAAGATCTACCTCTTTCACAAAAGCTTTTCCAAGTAACCAGAGTGACACAACTACTTCTCCCAACCAATCTCTCTCACTTTGATCAAAGAAAAAGTAAGAGAGCTAGAGACACCAGAAGTTCAGTAGGGAACTTGTTGTGCCAATCTGCTAACCTGCGAGGTGCTCAGATACTACAATGATGGACACCACCAATACAAAAACAATATAGATGATGAATGGAATTGCACCTTACAGAACTGCACTCCAATAGCATCTTCCAGTGTCAACCCCAATTCTGGTGTTTATCTTGAACCTATGTTAGAGGAAAGAGTGATACAAACTTCCCATACTGACATCTACATTAAGAATTTCAAGGAGCTCAGGATACAGATTACAATATACAATAAGAGCAATATAAATTATACTTGTACTGAAATTTCTTCAGTGGTGTGTAGATGGAAGTTGGTACATACACAAGATTTAGAACTCTGCATTAAGTACGCTTTGTGAAGGCCTCTGAGGTATGTCTACACTGCAATTAAAAACCTATGACTGGCCCATGCCAGCTGACTCAGGCTCGAGCTGCGAGGTTGTTTATTTGCAGTATAGATGTCTAGGCCTGGGCTGCAATTCAACAGCTCCGCAGCCCAAGTCAGCTGGCATGGGCCAGCCATGGGTGTCTAATTGCAGTATAGACTTACCCTGAGAGAGCTTTGCCTAATCCAGTCTCTTGTCACTGCATCCCCAAGATTTTCTCTACTAGTTGCACTGGTTGCTGATTTTCACAGATTTGATTTCAAGTTTCCAGTGTTTGCTTTGTTTGCTTTGAATGCTGTGTTACGTGGCTCTAGGACATGTATGGCATCTAGTAACTTCTGATTCTCCTGAACTCTACTAGTGCTAATCATTTTGTAGTTAGATGTCAGTGGCTGGAAAAGCAGATGCTTCAAATGAACTTTTCCATAACTTCTTCAATTTTCAAATTCTAGTAATAGACCTCTAAAGTTACTTTTTTTTTTTACAAGTAATAGCCACTATTTCTTAGTGCTGCTAAATGGCAGTTCTGCAGAAAAGGACCTGGGGATTACAATGGACAAGAAGCTGGATATGAGTCAGCAGTGTGCCCTTGTTACCAAGAAGACTAACGGCCTATTGGGCTGCATTAGTAGGAGCCTTGCCAGCAGATCGAGGGAAGTGACTATTCCCCTCTATTCGGCACTGGTCAGGTCACATCTGGAGTATTGCATCCAGTTTTGGGCCCCCCACTACAGAACGGATGCGAACAAATTCAAGAGAGTCCAGTGGAGAGCAACAAAAAGTATTAGGGGGCTGGGGCACATGATTTATGAGGAGAGGCTGAGGGAACTGGGCTTATTTAGTCTGCAGAAGAGACGAGAGGAGGAGGATTTGATAGCAGCCTTCAACTAGCTGAAGGGGGGTTCCAGAGAGCATGGAGCTAGGCTGTTCTCAGTAGTGGCAGATGACAGAACAAGGAGCAGTGGTCTCAAGTTGCAGTGGGGGAGGTCTAGGTTGGATATTAGGAAAAAGTATTTCACTAGGAGGGTGGTGAAGCACTGGAATGGGTTACCTAGGGAGGTGATGGAATCTCCATCCTTGAAGGTTTTAAGGCCCAGCTTGACAAAGCCCTGGCTGGGATGATTTAGTTGGGGTTGGTCCTGCTTTGAGCAGGGGATTGGACTAGATGACCTCCTGAGGTCTCTTCCAACCCTAATCTTCTGCGATTCTAATCTAAGTGTTTAAGTGTCTCAAACTATTAATGTTGGCTTATAATTTGATATATGATATATACTAGTTCTGTGCTACAAAATTTATATAACATAATAATCAACTTGACAAGTTACAGTTTTTACAAATCCTCTCAGATTTTTCCTTGTTACTTTTTGAGGGCACATGAAACATTATTGCTTTGACTGTTTTACTCAGAGTAACTTTACATTGTTTACAGGTGAACTTGAAAAGTTGAGAAAGGAGTGGAGTGATCTAGAAGCTGAATGCCTCTCCTTAAAGAATGAGAATACTTTGCTTGCATCTGAACTTCAGCGACAAGAGAAGGAGCTTCATAGGTAAGAGCTACTGACTCTAAAGGTTACAAATGGCCTTAGCTCAAAAGGTTTCTATAACAGCTAAAAAGGACTTTAAAAATTAGGGGCCAATTATGTTTTTTGTTTTGTTTTTTAAATAGCTTGTACACAAGAGAACTGGAATGTATCTTATGCATTTTATTAACTTTTGATTTACAGTTAGTTTTGATCAAAGAACAGTTCACATATACAATTAGTTACATTTACACATTTTGTACTCAATTTTTTTAAATATTTGTATATTACTAATGAACATTAAATATGCTTCAGATGACACATCTTATTTTAAATTAAATTTTGCCTCTTTAATAGGGACTTGGGAATATGCATTCTAACATTGGTTAAACTTAGTAAAAGTTGTCTTCCTTTACTGCCCAAAAGAGAAAAATACGTATAAAAACTTGGATTAGAAAATGCTTAACATTTGGAGCTTGCAAATAACATTGAAATAGGATTGCAGGATCCTCTATTCTGTCACATCACTAATGTTCATGGTTAAGGCTACGATTTTGTCACAGAGGTCGCAGAAGTCACGGAATCCATGATTTCCAAAGACCTCCATGACTTCAGCCCCATCAGCTGGGAGCTGCAAGGTCCTGCCGCCTCCCACAGCGGCAGAGAGCTGCGAAGTACCCCCACCACCTGAGGCAGCAGGCCCCAAAGCTCCCAGCCACAGGCAAGGGGGGTACCCAGCAGCTCCTGGCTGCTGTGGGGGACGGGGACTCCCACCGCCGCTATGGTGGGGACAGGCAGGCCCCCACAGCTCCCCACTCCGGTGGTGACAGGGGGATTCCTGCAGCTCCCTGCCACTGGGGAGAGGGCAGGGGGACCCCGGAGCTCTGAGCCCCCACGAGTGGTGAGGGCCCCAGGACTCCCAGCCATCTCACTGTCCCTTCCCATTTTATCATGGATATTTTTAGTAAAAGTCAGGGACAGGTCACAGGCTTCTGTGAATGTTTCTTTATTGCCTGTGACCTGTCTGTGACTTTTACTAAGAATATCCATGACAAAATCTTAGCCTTAGTCATGGTAGACTTCACTGAAGTGATACTGTGTTGTAAGATATATTTCATTGAAAGTGTTATGGCAATTAATAAAGATAAATCTCCCAGTCATACAACAAGTACATACTTCACAGGTATCTTTTTTTGAGTGACAGGATTATTCAGAATGTTTTGATCTTGTAGTTCCTTCATTCTTGAGTCATTTTACCTTACTGCTAAAGAATGCCTAAAACATCCAGCTTACACGGTAGTAGTTTGTCCATTTTATCCCCTCTTCCTCCATTATCCCCTTTGTCTTCACTTTTGGAATCTTGTGTCTTGATAATTCATCTAGAATACAGTACTGGGACAATAACCTGTTTTTCTTCAAGTAGTATCCACATCGGTGCTCCGCTTCAGGTGCCCATGCACCTCTTGAGTCCTTGATCGGAGATGGTCCATTAGCAGTGTCCGTTTGACCAGCCTATGAGCATTATGCTTCCTCGTGCTGGACACCAAGGCTATATAGGGGTGTGTGGGAGAACTATCTTCAGTTCCTTCTCAACCACCTTGGCCTGAGACAGAGCCTTAGCATGTCCACTTTGAGCATGTCTCAGCTGTTCTATTTTTCTAGAGTTGTTTAAGATTAGTTAATTGTTAGTAATAGTTAAAGAAAAGCAGTAAGAGGATTGTTTTACTTCTCTCTTTCTCCTCTGAGAGACTGATTTTTCCTGGCAGCGCATATGTGGCTCAGTGGGTTTCAAACACTTCCTCTCCTGCCAGGAGGCTATACCTGTGAGCAACAGCCACGCTAAGTGAGTCGATTACTTTGGGGAGTCTCACATCTCCCAGAAGAGCAACTTCTGCTTTGGCCCTCAAGTCCAGGGCAAGGAAAAAGAGGGAGATTAAACTGAGATTGCTGATGATAGAGTGCTCCCTTTGACCAGCTTTTGAGTCGGGTCAGGAGACTCCTCCCCCACCCATAAATCTGCTCTGAACAGATCCGGTGTCCCTTAAACCTCGGCGCAGGCTTCCCCTAAGAAGTGGAAGACTTTGGAGGCTTGAGGGAAGCCTTTCAAAAAAGAGAAATGTGGACTCTCATCTTAAGGAACCAGCTCCAAAAAACCCCCATGTCCCTTGTGACATCTACAGCCTTCAAATCTTAGACCTCTTGACTCTATACCATTCAGTCGAAGGACTCCTCCCTCAAAACCGGTGGGGCTGGAAAGTCCTGGAGCTCAAAGGAGAGGCACATCCTTGGTACCCTCTACTAGGGATGAGGAGGGCAAGTATGAGCACTCTGGACTGGCACCATCAAGCACAGCCCTGCCGTTGGCACCAATGCTCTTGGTACTACGCAAGCAGCAGTGCCAAGGCATCATTGGCATCTACATTGGTACGCCCACCATCAAGCGTGATGTGATATTGTCCTCGGCTACTGCATTGCTAGTGAACCCCTACTCAATACCACAAAAGTTCAGATACACAAAGGACCTGTCTGTAATGAAGGAACCAGAGTCCCTGTTTCTCATGGGTATTGAGCACCTCTTGGTACCAAGACCCTGATCTCTGGACCACCATCCTCCAGTAACGCATAACTTTCCACCATTTTCTGCCGGTGCCCCTCCATTGGATAATAGTGAGGAGGATGAAGGAGACTTCCAGGAGGTCTCTTCTGTTTCTGTTCAGGGTTCTTCAACATATTCCTTCAGGAATCCATTCTTTGACAGTCACAGGGAAGATTGCACTCATCATTAAGGGTGGTGGAACCAACCCTGAATGCCACCCCACACCTGTGTGGGGCGCCCCAAGTGACCGGACTGGGACCCCTGAGCTGCTTATCAGCAGCAATTCACCAGACTACTGGTACCATCTCATAGGGTACTAGAGCTGTACAGCCCATTCCTCCCCAAACAGCTCTCCCCCACCCCCCGCCACACACAGGAGGAGACATTTGAGGAGCCGAAGGCTAGGGCACATAGAGGCCACCCCTCCAATACCTATTTTATCCTTGTTATGCCTCTACCACCATCCCTGGCCGACCATTTTCGGCAATTTCAAGATCTCATAAAGGGGGTTGTGGATGCTCTTCAAATTCCATTTGAAGAAGTCAAGGACTCAGCAGAAACTGTTGGATATCCTGCAGTCAGCAACATCCTCCAGGGTGGTAGTACCCATTAACGAGGTGCTCTGAGATCCAGCCAACACTGTGCGACGGACACCTGCCACTATTCACAATTGGGATGAAGAGCCCACTTCAATGCCCTTATGACTCAGGGCAGTGGACAATTCAGAAAACCAGTCTCCAGATCAGTCTTGGCTCTGAGGAACACTGCTTTCATTTCATACTCCTCATTAGGGACATATCAATCAGGGTCATGACTGACAACTTATCCTGCATGTTTTATGTCAACAAGCAGTGAGGAGAAAGATCTGTCTCCTTGTTCATTAAAGCCATGAAATTATGGAACTGGTGTATAGCTCATCAAATCCAAATTTCAGCAGTCCACCCTCCCAGGTATCCAGAACACCACAGCCATGTCCTCAGCAGATTCTTCTCACAGGACTATGAATGGCAGTTAGACTCTCAAGAGTTCTCCACAGCATATTGAAAAGATGGAGACCTGCTAAAGGTGGATCTCCTCACCATCTGCAGGAACAAGAGGTGCCCTTTTTTTCTACTTGAGGGGGAGAAGTCTTTCTTCTGTCTTGGAAGAAAGGTCTGTTCTCTGCATTTTCCCCAACACTGCTGCTACTAAGGGTGATGGACAAAATCAGACAGGACCAGAGTTACCCTTATAGTGCCAGTCAAGTCGAGACAAGTTTGGTATCCTTACCAGCTCCACCTTTGTGTCTAACCGTCTAATTCAAGCCCAACCACTTCTCATGTCCTCTCGTAGGATGTGGGTCATGTGCTTCACACCATTGTAGGAGTTCTCCACCTCAGAGCGTGATTCCTTGATGGTTCCTGGAGTTAGAATCCTCTTGCTTTACGGAAGTACAACAGATGTTACTGACTAGTAGAAAGAGGTCAACCCAAACTACTTACCTGCAGAAATGGAAGAGATTTTTCCTTTGGTGGTGGTGGTGGTAGTGGTGCTGCCTCCTGCCTGAATTTGTGCCACTTTGTCATTCTGTATTACTTGTTGAATCTGAAGAAAGTTAGTCTGATTAAGGCCCATTTGGCTGCAATATCAGCCTTTCATCGTCCAGTAGAAGAATGCTCCATTTTTTGCTCACCTGGTATCATCTAGGTTTATTGAGAGTTTGGGGAATCTCTGCTCCAGATTCAAGTCCCCACCAAACCTAGAACCTAAACTTGGGCCTTAGTTACCTTGAGACCTCCATTTGAATCTATGGCAACCTGTTCTATGCTCCATTTAACTATGAAGATGGCCTTTTTAGTAGCCATCATGTTGACCTGCAGGATTGGGGAGATGGGAGCAGTTATTGCACAAAGTGAGTAACCTCTTCTTCTTTTAGACTTGAATTTTTACCATGTAGCTACCCTTTTATATTTGTGTTATCAGTGCCATAAGTTCTAGTTGTAGTTACCAATGGAAGTTCCCTGCAGTGGAGCATTCCAAAAAAGGATGAGTCATTGTTTTAGGCAAACTGAAGCCAAATCTTATACATGAATCTCCCTTCATTCTACTTCTGCTCCCATTTTCTCTAACTCCTGACATTTTCCCTCTTCTCTCCTACCCCACGTTTCTACTGTATCCAGTCTGACACCACCACACCTCCCCATTACAGTTTCCCATATAACAATATCTAGTCCTGTGATATATTCCCAGCAACCCTCTACTGCCAGTCCAGGCCACGAGTGGTATAGTCTCACTGAGGATGTGCACCAGTCTTTTTCCCCACAGTATCTTACTTCATCCTGACTAGGTAAAAATATAGCACAGTCCAATTTTCTAAAAGTAGTTGCAGTGGTCTGTGCACATAAATATGTAATCACTTTTTCACTTGTATTTCTTCACATAAAATGTTCATGCTCAAATCTGGGGGGACGCAGATGATCTCTGTTTCTAATTTAAAAAAAAAAAAAAAAGCCAATGGTTTCTAAAAGAGTGGTTCATATTTCTATTGCTTATATTTTATAGGCACAAATTACAATTGCTTAACTTAAATACTTAGTATTTAATTATTAATTTACAGATTTTTACATTAATAAAGTACAAAACTTTATGAAATAACTAGATTTTCATGAAGACAATTATATTTTCTATTTTAGAATATTCAAAATATTTAATTGTTACTGATAAGCTAGAATAAACTAAATTGAAGTAGATATATGTACATTATGCATACTGTAACTATCTCCTTGAGATGCACTGTTCTTGTGAGTTAGTTTCTACTCAAAGTATTTGTAATTATTTTCTGTGTATAAATAGATATTCCAAAAAATATTAATCCTTGGCCAAAATTGCTTTGTAAAAGTTTGTCAAGTTCTTAGGGATAAAAAGTTCTTTATAAATCATGTAAATGTTTTATTTTAAAATGTGAAGTATGAATTGAATATTGTTTTGCAGCTCTCAGAAACAGAGTTTAGCGCTAACCAGTGATCTAAGTGTTCTTGAAATGACCCGAAAGCAACTTGAAAATCAAGTGGGATCTTTGAAGGAACAACATCAACGCGATGCAGCTAGTCTAAAAACTCTACTCAGTGAAGCTGAGAATCAAGCAAAGGATATTCAGAAAGAGGTAAAAGGAAAGACATTAATTCCTATTATGATTTGATCCTATGACCAGCAACTGATATTTATGCTAGCTAGATGGAAATGCAGTGAAAATAGCTATGACCTCAAAACTTCTGAAAATTGTTATTAATATAAGTGGTTCTCTGTGAGTGGGACTTAATGCACAAATGAGGAAATTTGTGAACCTAAAAGGGAAGCTCAAGTAAGTTTTTTGTGTGTGTGTGTGTGTGTGTGTGTGTGTGTGTGTGTGTGTGTGTGTGTTGGAAATTTTCTAAATGTTTGCTTTTGCAGGCAAAGTGCACTGGTTTTTATGCTGTTCATGGGCAGCTTTCACTTATGACTACCATTGAGATGGCAGATAGGCAGTCATATTATTGACCACAGCATTAAATTCTCAGTAACCTGTATAAATAGGTATTAACTGTTCTGAGACAATGCGTGTACTATATTAGACACACCCATTTTTCCTAAGCATTAGGAATTCACATCCTCTGCAAAGATGAGTGTCCTTCCTATTTAATAGAGCCTTGCTTGGATCCTCAGGACTTTTGAAGGTGATTAAGAAGTGCATATGACAAAGTTAGAACCCTTCAAATGAGGCTGCTGAAGCACATACTTTATGGGGGACAAAAAGCTGCAATAGTTAGTTCCTTTCCTCATGAACACAATTAGAGAAGCTTTATCCAGCCACTGGTGGATTTTTCATTATCCTTTTTGTAATCCTTTTCCTTGCTTTGTCATAAATTAATCACTATAATGTTATATACCATTTTCATATTTCAGAAAAAATGTAAATTAATGTTGTTAACATATAACTTTATAACTATAGAAGTTCTATATCCATAAAGGAGCAGCTACTTTTAGCTCAAATGGTAGAGAATTCTGCTTTAATGCTTAACGCAATGCTTTCTAGTCCCCCTAATGCTCTGTTGTGAGGGTTGCCTTGTAGCCTGTAAAATAATTTGAATACCTATAGACCTTGAATGATAGGGACAAGCTTCCCTTGACAGAGGAATGTTTGACACATTGTCTAAGCACTTTTAATCACACTGTTAAACAGAATACCAATTGAAATGTTTTCAACATTTTTGGATGTTTTTCTACATTTTCAAATATATTGATTTCAGTTACAACACAGAATATAAAGTGTACAGTGCTCACTTTATATTATTTTTTATTACAAATATTTGCACTGTAAAAATGATCAACAAAAAATAGTATTTTTCAGTTTACCTTATACAAGTATTGTAGTGCTGTCTCTTTATCGTGAAAGTGTAACTTACAAATGTAGATTTTTGTTGTTACATAACTGCACTCAAAAACAAAAGAGCCTACAAGTCCACTTAGTCCTACTTGTGCAGCCAGTCGCTCAGACAAACAAATTTGTTTACATTTGTGGGAGATAATGCTGCCCGCTTATTATTTACAATGTCACCAGAAAGGGAGAACAGGCGTTGGCATGGCACTTTTGTAGCCGGAATTGCAAGTTATTTACATGCCAGATATGCTAAACATTCATATGCCCCTTCATGCTTCGGCCACCATTCCAGAGGACATGCTTCCATACTGATGATGCTCATTTAAAAAAAATGCATTAATTAAATTTGTGACTGAACTCCTTGGGGGGAGAATTACATGTCGCCTGCTCTGTTTTGCCCACATTCTGCCATATATTTCATGTTATAGCAGTCTTGGATGATGACTCAGCACATGTTGTTCATTTTAAGAACACTTTCACTGCAGATTTGACAAAACACAAAGATGGTACAAATGTGAGATTTCTAAAGATAGCTACAGCACTCGACCCAAGGATTAAGAATCTGAAGTGTCTTCCAAAATCCGAGAGGGATGAGGTGTGGAACATGCTTTCAGAAGGGTTAAAAGAGCAACACTCAGATGCAGAAACTATAGAAGCCGAACCACCAAAAAAGAATATCAACCTTCTGCTGGTGGCATCTGACTCAGATGATGAAAATGAACATGCATCAGTTTGCACTGCTTTGGATCTTTATCAAGCAGAACCAGTTATTGGAATGAACGCATGTCCTCTGGAATGATGGTTGAAGCATGAAGGGACATACGAATCTTTAGTAAATCTGGCACGTAAATATCTTGCATTGCTGGCTACAACAGTGCCATGCGAACACCTGTTCTTACTTTCAGGTGACATTGTAAACAAGAAGCAGGCAGCATAATCACGCAATTAATCGTGATTAATTTTTTTAATCGCTTGACAGCCCTAATTATTGTCCCTCTTGATTAAGGAGGGATACTGTAAGCACATTGTGTTTGGTGTGGCACATAAGTTGAATATGTTCAGGCGCTGCTGTCAATGTAGTTGGCCACCAGCACACTGTAGTTTCACATGACACACCATAGTGAATTCATCCCACTTTAGAAGTACATAATTCCTCCCCTCCCCCACTTATGAAAATATTTTTGTTTGTCTGTGTTAATAAATGATAAACTCCAGAATTACTGGACTATCTCAGAAAATCCTGGGCAACTAAAATCATTCTAATGAAGAATCACTGCTGATTATATCACAAAGCAGTGTCTGATCTGGTTAGCAAATAGACGGGAAACCTACAAGGAAAACTGAGTGTTCTAGGAAGTAGATTGAGTTATTTAGTAGGAGAAATACTTCTTTGAGTCTGTTCTGAACTAATGCCCTGGTATGTCCATAGGGACCATACTGTGGTTGGATGTGCTATCTTTTGAATGAAATGTAAAAGATACTGAAGTTGTTGTTAAAGTTTGCATATCATTTTATATTAATGTTAAGGGAGTGTAGCTTCAATTTCTAGGCTAAATTTAGATTTGTGGTGTTATATTCTGCCTTCTTAAATTCCCCAAGCAGTTTCATTTGGATAATGGTGGTCCTTACTTACTTTTTTAAAACGTAGTGCAGTGGTGTACACTGGTAGTTGCTGCCTTCTATCCAAGAAGAAGGCTGCATTCCTAGTGGTAGGTGAAATAATTTCTGAATAGCATATAGCATATGTCATTAGTAAAGATGTTGGTATCATGCAAGATAAGGCACTATATAAATAAGACTTTGTTCTCCTTTAGTTATACCTGCAGTAGGATGTTATGAGTCTCTTTGCTATCAAAAAGCAAAGGCATACATGCAACTAGTTCTAAGCCTTCAACACAAGGGGGAGAAATTGTAGTAAAAAGAAAACTTAGAAGACTGTTTCAGTAAGAATGGAAAAAGATTCTTTGTTGTAGTTTTTCTTTGGGATATAAGATGGTTTTAATTATCATCCAAACAGATCTCTCATCTGCTATTTTTATATGGAACGGCTAGTTCTGACCAAATTATCTTGAAACGTTATTGATAAGGAAGGTTTTGTTTCTGAAGCTTCACTGACTTACCTTAACAGAACTTAACATCTAATGTCCAATTTAAGATGAGTCTGTAGATTGTTTTTTCTTTGCCTTTAGTATGAAAAGACACAGACTGTACTTTCAGAGCTGAAGTTGAAGTTTGAGATGACTGAGCAGGAAAAGCAATCAATCACAGATGAGCTCAAACAATGTAAAGACAACCTGAAGCTGCTACAAGAAAAAGGAAACAATGTAAGTCTGTACAAATTATGTTGGGCCTCTGTGAGGGCAAGTCTGTTGATTGTGACAACATCTGAGTGTTACATGGTAAAAACCAGATTTTCAAAAGGGAAGTGTACAAAAATCCACCTGCAATTGCATACCTAATGTGTGCTGCACTGCTGTCTTTGTACATGCAAGTAACCATTTAGATTCCTGTGTATTTGCATGCACAAACATGCAGATTGAATACACAATTGCAGTAATTGTGCACATAAATTAGGTGCATAACTGTATATACTGTTTTACACATGTCCCTGTGCTTCTGCTCTCTTTAAAAATCTGGATTAATGACTAGCAGACGGAGCCAGGTAAAACATTTTCACTTCACACAAAAATGCAAAAAATCCTCTCTGAAAATCTTCTGTACAGAAGTCAAAAGACCTGGACACACACAAGTTTATTAAAAATAACAGGAAAAACAGATCTTTTCCAGGATATTTTCCTTCTGTGTGGTGGTCTGTTCAGTAAATGTTATCCTCTGACTGTCTCCTGGTCTTGCCCCTTAAGGACAAAGGGCCCTGATGGGCTAGTGCTACACACATTGAGAACAGTGTTCCCTCTAATTTTTCCCACCCATGTACAGAATGAATTTCGTTATGTGCACCAATATGGAGGTGGTGTATGACACATCACCTTCATATTGGTGCACATAATAAAATTCATGTGGTGGGAGGTGGGGCTGAGGTGTTTGGAGTGTGGGAGGGGGCTCAAGGCTGGGGTACAGGGTTGGGGTGCAGGGGTGTGAGGGCTCTGGCTAGGGGTGTGGGCTCTGGGGTGGGGCCAGGGATGAGGGGCAGAGGGTTGGGGTGCAGGGGGTGAGGGCTCCGGCTGGGGGTGTCAGATCTGGGGTGGGGCCAGGGATGAGGGGCTCAGGGCTGGGGCAGAGGGTTGGGGTGCAGGGGTGTGAGGGCTCCAGCTGGGGGTGCGGGCTCTGGGGTGAGGCCGGGGATGAGGGGTTTGGGGTGCAGGAGGGTGCTCAGGAGCTATGGCAGGGAGAGAGGACTCCCCCCAGCTCTCTCCCCACAGCAACACCTGGGCTCCAGGGGAGGGGCACCTCTCCCCGCCAGAGCGGCTGCAGGATAGGTGCTCCTCCCCCGGCCCCAGCAGGTCTGGGCTGGGGGAGAGCTGCCACGGCTGGGTCTGGGCAGGGGGAGGGCTGGCTACAGCCAGCCCCATGCCGCTCCAGCCATGCGCCGCTCCAGCCACACTGCCCCAATGGGCCTGGGCTGCTCCAGCTGTGCCTGGCGCGGGCCCTGGTCACCCTGCCCTGCCCCAACCACGGCTGGACCCGATTCGGCCATGCCACCCCAGTAGGTCCTGGCGCGGCAGGTTGGGCTCCGGGCTATGTGGCGGGGGAGGGGAATCCCTCCTCCAGCTGCGGCAGGCCCCCAGGTGGGTTCCTTGAGTGCTTGCACGGCACTAAATAGGCCGCTGCTGAGCTGCGCAGCTTACTGGGAACTTAGGTTGGGAAGTATAACTCAAATGCACTACGCTTTCCAGCCTGATCTTTTCTGGAATGATCTTTTCTGTAGTAATTAATTTTAAATATATCACAGGATTGAGTGTACTGCCAGAGACCGCTTTTGGTGCCTACAAAGCACAGTGTCATTGAATGCTGCCCATGCTGTTAGAGCCAGTATAACTACCCCACTCCCCTGTAGACCTCTTAGCATGCAGCAGAATTGGGAGAGGAGGAACGAAAAGGGGAGGCCACATTCACCGTCTTCTTGTTGCTTTATGTGCCGTTCGTGGTAATCTCACACCAGTTTCTTTCCTGCTTGGAATCCTTCTCCAAATTTTTAATGACAGATCACACTCTAGTGGTCCCTTTTGGCTTTAAGCACTATGAGTGAGAGGGAACAGGAAAAAGGGCCTGATTCAGCAAGGAATACATTAGTTATGTCTGCACTGCATTGTAAACCCAGGTCTGTGGCACCCACATTTGTGGACTAGGTGTTTCCAAGCCCATGCTTGAGCGACCACACTGCATTCAAAACTTTGGTTTACAATTGCTTGACCCAGGTCTCACAACCGTGCTAACACACCCATGTTGCACTATCAGACCTTCTGACTTGGATCTTTAGCTTGATCTGCGTCCAGACTGCAAAATGACAGAGCTAGGACCGAAGTCTCAACGGGTCTTGGGCTCAGACCCACCCCCCTGATTGGGTCCTAGAATTTGGGTCCTGAGTGGTTGCTGACCTGAGACAGATAGATTTATGTGTGGATGGTAGCGGGGGTTGGGCTCAAACCTGAGTCCGAGCCTGAGTTTATAATGCAGTGTAGACATCCCCTGAGTGGCTGGTGGTAAGTAGTAGACTCCTTACACTTAACCTTTTAAGAACCTAGACCTCAGGAAGCAAACTAAGTATGTCAGTGAGAAACTAGGAGGAAGGACTGAGGGGAAACAGAGAATGGGGAGGCTGGAGGAGGTCATAATAAGATGAGCAACAGCAAAGAGTGTATGGAGGGAGGGACTCCTAAGAGGAGCCTCAATTCAACATTCATGGGGTGACATTTTTAAAACTTTGAAAATTTAGTTAATCTTGCTAGGTGACTCAAAAAATCCTGGAGTTTCCAAGGGGCTGGGAGTTTTTTCCAAGTACCACTAACCTCTTCTTGTGGCTGAAGCCATCATCTTTCACCTCACTCTTGGCTAAGATTTTTTGGAAGAAAGGACGCCAACTGTGGAACTTCCTCCCTTTTGTGGCCTGCCAAAGCCTGAGTTTACAGATCTTCAATCATAATATTAGGGGCGCATGTTTTTAATCAGGCGTTGGTTTGACAGGAGGACAGCAATGAGGAAACTCATTACATTTCAGGGTGGTGTGGGGAGAAAATAAAAAGGTTGTCTTGTCTTTTTGTGGGCAAGTACATTTAATGTGGTGGTTGCTTTTAATGTATGTCATGCATGTTGTATGGGTGCATGTAATGATTGCTAAAATAAAATGCAGTAGACCATTCTATGTACTATAAATGCTAGAGGAGAGAAAATTCCTTTACTCCATTTGCAAACTCATATTGGAAATCCACAGGATTTTTGTGTTCCTCTTTCTTTTGAAGGGGTGAAGAATTAATTTTAAAAAGCAATGTTATGTTCTAAATGCATAGACCTATGGAGCTACCTGTATTTTGCATGTTTGTAGTTTATTGATGGTTTCCTGAGACTTTAAGTGATGGACTTATCCATGTGAATGGTGCTGAGCATGTAAAGTGCTTTGATGAATTTGAAATCTTTTGGCACTGCATTGATTATTTCTACCACCATGCTTCTTGTGGGAAGATGGCACTCAGATTTACAGCACAAATGAAAATGCCTTGATTATAATTACACACAACTTGTCTATTGAATATTGCTTTGATTAAAACAAATTTAAATTAGCATAAATTCAAAGCATGTATTGCACAGGGTAGAACATCATCTAAATTTCATATATACTGACCTTTATTTGAAGTTATGCTTGAAATGCCTGTATTACTTTTTTTTTTAAATCTATTAGTAACTTATTCTATGAAGTCTATAAACATGAGTTTAACTCATTTAGCTGACTATATGAAATCAACATGGCTTCAGCACAAAAAAGCACTAAAAAGACATCTAGCATGATCTGAACTTACTCCTGAGGTATGTGTGTGTACACACATATATAGCTAGAGAAACAGAAAAAGCAGGAGTCTTCTAAGGATAGTTTAAAAATCAACTTAGTTACCAATTCTCATCACCTATGTCAGTCACTCCTTTGAAATTGAATTAACCAATTCATGACACAGGACAGAGGTTATCCAGCCAAAGCTCAAAATAAAGAGGTGTATTAGTGTCTATTAAAACTAATTGAACAAGTTTGTGTGCAATTAAAACAAGGTATGTGTTATGTTGATGGCCTGAAATTTGTCTAGAAATACAACATTGTCACAACGTGAGATCAAGACGTAAATCCAACTTTCAGATTTTAGCAATTTGAGCTATCAGAAGCTGATGACCTGGTGGAGATTTTCATCTCCCAGAGTCCCCTGATGGATATGTACTCCATCATTGTGGTACACTTCATTGCTAATTTGAATAATGTTGCAGTCTCATAGAAGTGTCCTGACCACAGGATTTGCATTGTGATATAACTGTAGGTTATTCATAGGAAGAGAATTTTTTCTTGTGAGCAGGAGGTTGAAAATTGTTGAGAGTGAAGAAATGGATGAAGAATCTGTAGTGCTTCTTGGACCTTCTGAATATGCAGAGTCCACTGCCTAGGGATGCCTGGATGAGGTTTCATTGTGTAAAGGAAAAGCCATGCTCAGTCTCCCATCTATTTTTTTTTCCTTTAAAAAGGAAGACCGTAATGTGATAGATTGACATGTCAGTCTAAGCCTCATTTTGACTGAAATCCTAAATTCTAAGTGGTAGCAAAAGGCTTCCTTAGAACATTTTTCTGCTTACTTCATCTTATTTTTAAATATCCATGTTCATTTGAGTAGAGTGGTGTACTAACTTTGTATACCGAATTAGATCATGCTGTATCATGTTAGATGTCTTTAATACATTTCAATTAAAACAAAACTCACTCTTTGACTTATTTTCCCCCATCTAAATCATCTTTACCTTATTGATTTTATAGCAAAAAATGATTTTTAATATCCCTTCCCTTCTTTAGCCTTCCATATTACAACCCGTCCCAGCCGTATTCATCGGCCTAATCCTGGCTTTCCTGTATTGGTGTTACGGCCCATTGTGGTAGAGAAAGGTACAAGCACTACTGTTCAGTCAATGTATGTTTGTCCCTGTCGCCTGTTTGTGCCATTTTTGTAAAATAGTGCATGGTGAACTGCTCACGGATATTTATTTACCTGAAGCAACCCCTTCATTTAATATGCCGTAGTGGTGATACTGTCCAGCTGAACAATCAACTAATCATTTAACATCTGTGTGGTTTCTTTGTGATATTTCTAACTATGAATTAATTCTAACCTAACCAGTTTTGAGTGTCTCTCTTCTAACTTGGTCTCAGTTTGTCTTTAGCAAAATGGGGCAAATTTTGTGAAATACTGCAGTGACAGGACCTGAAAGAAAACCTAATTACTTAATCAAATATGGAAAATGAAGAGTTTGTCTGTTTAAATTGAAATTTGGTCCTTTATTTCTTATTTGTGGATTTAGAATTTCCTCTCTGGCTTTGAACACTTTTTCACTTTTCTCACTACTGCTGTGAAGAAGGTGGAAAAAGGACAAGATGGGAATAACAAATAGGTGGTGGGTTTGCATTCTTAACTCTAAGCTTGCACTACATTTACAGTGTCTCCCAGTATGTCCTGTGTAAAATACTTGTTACCCTTGATGTAAAATAATAATAAAAATTACCTTGATAGGATCCACTTAGAACTAATATCTCAGATCTGGCTTAAACACACAGAGCAAAGAAGTTAGATTCTGTTTATTGCATAGCATAGGTCTAGCAATACTTTTGCATGAACAATATTATAAGCATCTTAATCCCTCAAAGGTTTAATAGAAGATATAATCCTAGATGCATATTGTAACAAAGTTGGAAATACAACTAATAAAGAGACTCATGGTGACATGCCATTGTGATGACTGCGTCTCTTGGAATTCCTTGTGGTAGGCCAAATATGGTTTAACCCCGTGTCAGGATTTCCCAACAGTAAGGGTTCATGGGAAACATATTAGTGATGTTTATCAACAGGTGCTCAGGATTTATTGGAACCAAGGGGTAAACTGAGTAGTGTAAACTAGAACAAATATGATATTGAATTTTTTTTTCTCTCCACACAGAGACAATGGCCTTGGATGCCTCTGATGGCAGCTTTGGTTGCTGTAACAGCTGTGGTGCTGTACCCAGGCCTAACCAGAGCTTCTCCATGAGAACTGTTGTTGAATCCATTCACCGTCCTCCCTTTAGAAGCTGGCATCATTCACATACTGGGGAAAACCAGATTAATTCTCTTCCTTTTTACCTCTTACAACAAAGCTCTGCGCGAGAACAGTAGTAGGGTCATTGCTTTAAACTGTATAAAATGTATCTGTCTATAAAGAGGGAATAAAATTATGACTTCATTCTACTGTGAGCAATATTTTTGCTTACAATTTCATGTAATTTTTAAATTAGTATGTTGGGATTCTAAATACTTTTATGGTGGCCTAAAGTAGGCTTCTTGGTACCAAATTATTTATAATGGGTAGGTTTGTGGATATTTTACTTTAGAATCTGATTGCCAGATTTAAAAGAAAAACACATTTCTGATTTGGATACCCATGCCAAATAACCTTACAGATACTTGGAAACAGAGGCAGTATGCTCAGTGCCTTTCAGTTTGAAATATTTTTTTACATTAATGTACCATTTTTACTTGCTGCAAGTCACTGAGCTAGTGGGAACAAGACTTAAAATAACTTCTCTTTCCAGGCCTTTTGAAGGAAACAAATATTTTGCTTCAGTAAAGATTCTGTTTTATTAATAATTTTGGGAATAAATACAATTCATTTCCAGCCTTAAAGAGAGAGAGAAGACATTGGATGGCAAACACCTGCCTAGGATATTTTGTGTGCGCGTGTGGGAATGTGTGCTTGTGTGTGTTCTTGAGTGAACTAAGGTATTTCTGGGAGCAAAATCTTGGTCATTTGATGGACATAGTGCAGTGATCCAATTTATATTACCTTTATTTCGAATGTAATTTATTAAATTTCATATATTTAAAGAGACACATTCTTTAAAATCTGAATATTTTCGCACATATCACATTTTAGCAACTTATTTTTTCAGTCATTTAATACTTTCAAAACTGAACTGGAGAAATATTTGTCTATTTAGGTAAGTTTTTATTGAAAACTTCAATATGGGAGGTGCTACAATGCATCTATGGGTAAATGAAAAAATCCAAGATAGGCAAGCTCTTGCCAAGTTAGTCATCTAACTGGTCATGTATGCATCAAGTTAATAAGCTGAGAGTGTTTACTTTTGGTAATTAGAAACTTTTGCATCAACATTACATGACACAATATGCATAATATACCTTCATACATTATTGACTTTTTGATTGGGTAACCACTGTAGTTAAACAATGAATTAAGTGTTGGCTATAGTTGTCTTGTGCAACTCAACAGTTCAGTTAAAAAAGTTTTATTAAGGTCCTATATAATATACTAAAGGATTGCAAAGTAAAATGAATTCATCTAATGGAAATTTAAGAATAGGAAGATAATCTCAGCGAAGATTTAATTGGCTTTAAAATATTTAATGGCAATCAACAGATATAGTTGAATATTTAAATAGAAGTTTAGCATATAATTTGCCTTGTGAGGTTCTGAGGGTCATTGTCCTTTAATTAAAGGTTCTATCTTAAAATACTTGGGATTTGCTAATGGGAGGATTATTAGATTTATGGAAGAATAAATCCACAAGTGACTTTTAGACTATAATATTGGGTCACCTAGTTAACATTTCATCTTTTTCAGTTGCAGGAAGCCACCCAATCACAAAACACTCATATGCCAGTGGTACTCGGTACCTCTTGTATATAGATTATTGCAAATATTGTTCTGAAATGCTTTACTTCAGAATTACATTTTTTAAAGTAAATAATTGTTTTAAATCTATTTTGTAAAGGTATAATAAGTACAATAGAATTTCTCGAGTACAGATTAAACTATTTGCACTAACACACGTGATGTGCATGATTTAATAAAATAACTTTACTCTACGTATGCATGTTTGAGTTGAATCTCATTTGAAAACCGCACATCTGTGTTAAATTCATTGTGTGCTAGGTATTACTACAATGTTTGCAGCATGTTTGATAATTGAAAAGGTTTTACTTTTCATTTCACATTCACATTGGTTTAAATTTAAATTTAAATCTCTCTCCTGTCCAGGTCTAGTTTGAAGCAGAAAGGGAATGGGAGCACAATGGGTTGGGGTTTGGTTCTGTGGAAAAATCTGGAAGAGAGATTTTTTGTGTGTGTTGGAGCTTGGAGGGTGCCTATAATAGGGGTGGAAAGCTAGGGGAAAGGTGGGAGGGTGGTTATGGATAGTGCAGAGAGCCTGGGGCAGCTGTGAAAGGAGTTGATGAGGGTAGTGCAGGAGCTTGAGGCAGTCTCCCTCCTTCTCCCACTAGCTTCTCTAGTTCTGCCCCGTCCCTTTTTAACCATTTTTTCTTCCCCACTGTGCTCCATTCACTTTCCTACCATGACTGCCTCCTCCCTAGCCTCTATGCAGACCTGGTGTCCTCTGAAGGAGAAGAGAGGCAGAGAGGCCACATGAAACCTGAGGATATAGTAGCTCCTGGTGGCCAGATGGCGGAACTGCAAGCAATCCTTTCCACCTTGCAGCCCAGCTAGATTTAGCATGATGGGGCGCCAAACTTGAGTATCCTCTGAGATGCCTGATCATTGGCAGCCCTCATTATTTTCACAGCACTATTTTCTTTACACAAATACAAAAATTGTGTGAGTTTTCAGTAGTCTTCAAAACATGAAACAGCTGACAATGTTAATCTAGCATGTCGATTTAAAATGAGAAAAAAGTCCCTAACTTGGTGCATGTATGCATATTTATATTCACTTTATATACACAGACACTCATAATGTGTATACTTTGCATGGATATATGTGTTCAGTATATGCATCTGTGTCCAGATATACAATACAGTATTTCCCATAGTACAGTGCTCTTCCTGGGAACTGTTAACTTATGCATGTTCAAAAGATGATCAAAAATAAATTAAGATGCATAGTTCACTCTCCTTTTAGGGAATACCTGGAAGAGGATTGGTTAGTGTCTAGGAATGTTCTGATCTCCAGGGTTTTTACAATAAAAGAGAAAGTGGATAAAAAACTTTTCCAAACACAGCCACCCGACTGAGCACAAACCTGCCTTCCCAGCTGACTGTTACTACATATGTTTACAGAATTATCTATATTACATGCACATTTACAACCCTTTTTTGAATTATGAGGCCTGAGAGTAACTGCTAACTAGCTCTGGGGATTATTACAACAAAAGATTGGGGATTTTTTTTTTTTAACTAACAAATCCCTGATACAATGAGAGCTTGTCAGAAGGTGATGAGCGCCCTCAACTTGCATTGAAGTTAATGATATTAGAGAGGCACTCAGCATCTTGCAGGATTGGTTCCAGAAAACTGTTTCATCAATTACACAGCCCAACTGACACATTAAAAACATGTCTCCTCTAACCACATTATATTACTCCTGTTTTAACATTTTTAGTTTTCTACTGCAGTCCTTATTTGATGCAAAACTTTGACTTCAGTGAGTTTTACCTGTAGAAGGACTGCAACAGTAGACCTTTGATTCACAACCTAAAGGAGAAGTATAATTAAAAGAAAATACAAGCTTTTTACCTGTACCATGTTTCTGAATTATATTAAAGTTGACCTCTCTTCTGTAATATGGTTGAAGTCTTCTTGTGATCAGATCAGTGAGCTCTTTTTAAACTTGCCAAAGGAAATTATCAGGATAACATTGGTGATAAATGAAGACTGAATTTTATGGAGCAACACAACACTTTGTAGAATTATGTCATAAAGGAAACAAGTAGTCTTATCCCTGAAGAGTCAGTGCCAGATTGATTCCTGCATGGTAGCTGGAGTCAATGTAACTATCCATCTCAACAAGTAAACTTGTGAATCCCAACTTACTTTCTGTCTTCTGACCAAATTTTCTAGAAGTGTCATCCGTAACAACTTTCACTGACCTTCACATATGCATTCTGTCTGGTTCCAGGCACTTTTAAAAAAGCTTGGATCATCAGTGTCACTCGGACAGCTACAATACTTTGTGGGAAAGTGGCATACTTTCTGTAGTAATTTTGGAGTTACAGATATACAGGTTTGTCATTTAAAACATATACACATGCATATGCATGCACACATACTGTGTATGGCTATTTATGCTTTATCTTAATTTACTTTGTCTAAAACTATTTTTTCTATCTTTCTTTATATCAACTCCTCCAAGCACTTTCTCCAGCTTCAAAAGCAAAGTATTTTCTTTCAGTAGTTCTCTACCTTCATTTTCATGTAACAAAAGTGGAACTCTTACACTTTAAGGCCAGGAGGGACCATCATAATCGTGTAGTCTGACCTTTTTGGCAGATAACCTATTTTATTGGCCATTTTTCTCTAAGATTATCCATCTCTCAGTTGTTTTGTCAATTAAGAGAAACTGCTTTGTAGACTTTTAGGGACCTTTACCCCATTCCATACCACCCAAAACAAAAGAAGTGTATCCTTTTGATTTAATGTAATTCAGTTTCAATGACTTTAACCATTTTCTAGTAAAGATGGGTGGGTGTGTATTTATCATTGGGCTGTAGTTACTCTTTGGTATGACTTTTGATATGACTGACTTCAAGTGGTCCTCTTTTAGTCCAGAGAGAGATGGCTGTATAGCTCTGCTCCCATGCTTCTGGAAGCAGGAATATGCAAATTAAGCTCTCCAGCCACCAACCCTGGCCCTTGGGCCAGTTATACCAGTATAGTTAAACCAACATGTAATACTAGTATAACTATCCATATGGAGACATTCAAAAGAATGGCTTTTTTGGTTTAGTGTAAACTCCTTGTGAGGCGACATAAGCTAAACTTAAAAATCAAAACAAAAAAATACCACTCATACCAGAATAAGCATCCACTCAGGGAATTATACTGGTATAGCTATCAGTTTAAATTCGCACTTTAGCTCATAGCAATATAACTTTCCTTTACATATACAAGCCTTTACATATATCTCCAAGTCTTTCTCTAGCCTGTAGAAGAGTCGTATTGCTTGGGACAATGGCTTCTTTAGCTTCACTCTTCCCCAGGAACAGCCTCTGTTGCATTGACCTTTCCCAGAAGCACTGTCTGGTTGGTTTGAAGCATAAGTTCACTAACCTGGCATTTGGCAAGCTGCCAATGGTTTGAGCCTGTGTGCATTGATTCCATAATTAGGCCTGATGTGTTGCCACTCAAAGCCAGTTCCTCTAGTCGTCCTTTCAGCCCGCAGGAGCTCTTCCAGCAGGAACCCTTCCAGGATCCTGTACTTGGGTCCATGTAGCATTATGGAGTCTGACAGAACCAGAAACTACATGGATGGGAGGGAATCACATCAGCAGGTCTGTAGGGTCAGTCAGAAGATGCAACAACTGCTTTCTCTCGCCCTCAAACCATCTACCTCAGAATCTGTTTGTGAGACTTACTATTCCCTACAACCCTTACCACATCTAGTTCCTCAGATCCAGCTGACCTTCCCTTACTAGTCCTCTTTCGGTTGTGCTTTCAGGCAGCCCCCAGAACTCTGCAGCCCCTCTTGGTGACCTCTTTTACTTTCTCTAATTGGAAATCAGATCACAGCATTAATTCTTACATGTTTGCTAGCCCTAAAGTTTTGTGGTCCTTTCTAGCTATTCCTTAGGACCATCCTCCACTCCCTTGTCAGCTCCTGCTTTGCCCTTTAAATTTTTCCTCCCACTCAATTTTGCACGATTACTTGCAATTTTGAGAAATTGGCTCTTTTAAAGCACTAAGTATATTACTGGTTGGTATCATATTATGTTTGTACATGAAGAAAATGGTCATGATCACTTGCATCTAGCCAACCATCCGTTTTTAGTTGAGCAATCAATTCATCTTCATCTGTCAGAATGAGGTCTAATATAGAATTACCCCACTTTGGTTGCAATACTTTTTGTCTTAGAAAGTTCTCTATGATTTTTAGACTTCCAAGGTTGTTTTGTAGCCGGAAACAATTTGCCTATTAATAAAAAAGTTTAAATGTGTTCTTCCCTTAGTTTATTTATAATTATACTTTATACAGTTGCATCTTTCGTACAAATAATAAAGTATCATTAATGTGATAGCATGATAATCCTTTCACCCACATTCATTGCTAGAGCAATGCTTTGATACTTTAGGATGGGTGCAGATGCCCTTCTCTGAATGAAAGCTTGGGCCCAATGTTAGGTGGAATGCAAATATTTAGTTTAGTACCCTGGCATTAACACAGCCTGCACTTAAGTGCTTCAAATTGTTTAATAATCTCACATGCCCAGGATATCTCTCACATCTATCCAAAAGACATTTCCACCAGCACTAGGCCATCTAGTGTGATGCTGGAGCATTGGTTTAGTACTGACTCAGATGGAAGGACACCTAGTGATCACCAACACCTCTTTCTGCAGCCTCAAGGTTGTTAATGAAAGTTCTCTCGTCAGGACTGGTATTTGCTTAGCTTTTGTGATCATCTAGGGATGCAGTCAGGCTCCAGTCTGTGGCACAATATGTTACATGAATCTACAGCTGGCACTCCAGCTATCTCCTTTTATTTCTGTTTCTCCCTGAAAAAAAATAAAAACTCTAAAACATGAACATAGTTAAAGCATTTCAAAAGTCATGTAACTGACAGGCCTGTTTACTAAAATAATAATTATGTTGAATACAGATGTATGGTAGTTTTTCATGTTTTTTTCTGGTAGCAGAGTCCATGCCTAGCATATATCACTCGCTTCCTCTCAAATCCCTATCTGCCAACACTAATGCAAAATACCTTTCCTTTGGGCATGGAGGCAAAAACACTTAAATTACATAGATGATTCCCTTTAACATAGATAATACTATACAATGGGGTGGAAGAGAGTAGCATAGCTAACTCATGCTTACTGGCTCCCTATCACCTGATATTCTACCCAGGCTAGCTGTGTATAATGTTAACTAATGGGAAAACCTGTTTCTTCATCTTGTATGTGTCTATTTCTATTGTAGAATATGATTGCAATGTAAGCATAACTGGGGATTTTTCATTCAAAATATTTTTCTATATATATATACTAACTAATGGTACGGGAAGATGGGGGGGGCGGGAAATGGTGGTTCTTACAGCTTCATAATGGTTCTTCCTGCACTTGCACATTTGCCTTGGTCAGATATTGCTGTGTGAGCGCTTATCTTCTTTATATAAAACATTGCATCAATGACCTATGTTCCCTACTAATTCTATTCTAGTTATCAAAACTTGTAATTGTGTAGTTTTATTTGACAGCCTGTTTACACAATTCATTTCAAAGTTGTAACTCTGTTGTTTCCCCTGGTATGCTGTGAAGTTTCAGTCCCTTCATCATATCCCAGCCAGCTTCTTTCAATTTATTATAGTAATCTCTCTAATCAGTACTTCATGGGGCAAGTCCACCCTCATAATACTCAAATGCAGTTTCTCTGAGCACATTCTTACTCCTGTGTAGAGAGAATTTTAGTAGACACTAGGGAAGCAGAGTGCTGACTATATATAGCTTCTCCTCTCAAATCTAGAGATGGGTGGTAGTAAACTAAGCCCTGGTCTACGCTACAGGGTTAGGTCGAATTTTATAATGAATGCATCTACACAAGCAACCCCGTTCCATCGACCTAAAGGGCTCTTAAAATCGATTTCTGTACTCCTCCCCAGCGAGGGGAGTAGCACTAAAATCGACCTTGCTGGGTCGAATTTGGGGTAGTGCAGATGCAAATCAACATTATTGGTCTCCGGGAGCTATCCCAGAGTGCTCCAATGTGACCGCTCTGGACAGCACTTTCAACTCCGATGCACTAGCCAGGTACACCGGAAAAGCCCCGGGAACTTTTGAATTTCATTTCCTGTTTGGTCAGCGTGGCAAGCTCAGCAGCACAGGTGACCATGCAGTCCCCCCACAATCGCAAACGAGCTCCAGCATGGAGCGAACGGGAGACACTGGATCTGATTGCTGTATGGGGAGAAGAATCTGTGCAGGCAGAACTCTGATCAAAAAGAAGAAATGCTAATAGATATGCCAAAATCGTACAGGGCATGATGGACAGAGGCTACAACAGGGACACACAGCAGTGCCGCATGAAAGTCAAGGAGCTCAGGCAAGCCGACCAAAAGACAAAGGAGGCAAACAGTCACTCTGGGTCAGAGCCCCATACATGCTGCTTCTATGATCAGCTGCATGGCATTCTAGTGGGGGGACCCTACCACTATCCCACCACTGTCCATTGATAGTGTCCTT